TAGTGGCGAAAATAGCAATAGTTTGTTATAGGGTACAATTAAATCAAAGTATATTTATAGTATTTAATTTGAATTAATAGTTTGCTATTATATACAATTTTCCCTTTTTTTCCCTTCCTTTTCCCCTTTCCTCTTTCAAGAGAAGACTCCAACGACTTTCAGTGAATATGTTGTACACCGTTTTCACCTTTAACATAATTAGGTGGCGACTCTTTAAAATAGCATTAAGTTTCACCAATATGTTGTACACCGTTTAGACCTCGAGTTAAAATGGGGTATAACACCCACGTTATACAATGAAATAAAATATAAAGGTAAAACGCACTTCAAAGTCCTAGCATTAGCATTAAAATTTAATCAAAACCATGTGAAATTCTATCATATCGAAAAATTATATACCATCAACGACATGAGATGTAAAATCAACTAGGTTATGAACCTAGAGGCAAGTATTATTTATCCTACTTGCTCATGTCGTCTTCAATAATATGTCGTACAAATTGACCTAATCATACTAATAATATAGCACAATAGTATCTTCTCATACGACACTCTTCCATAGTTCCAAGTAGGGGTGTTCATGGTTTGGATAAAAACCGATCCAAATCGAAAAACCAAATCAAACCGATAAAATAAAACCGATTTTATTTGGGTTTGGTTTGGTTTGGTTTTAGATTTTTGAAAACCGATAGTATTTGGTTTGGTTATGGTTTTATTCGAAAAAAACCGAAGAAATAACCGAACCGAACTGATAAATTATATACATATATTTTATTAATATACATACTTAATATATTATTTTTATAAACAATTTTAAAGATCTTATACATATTTTCATTAAAATCTCTTTATAATTTACTTATTGAAAGCAAAAATGCCCAAGATGAAACATTTATCTTATTGATTTCATGTATGTGAGTGTCTATGTCAATTCTTTGTGGGACTGAAAATGTTATTGGCTCTTCCTTCTAGGCCAATATTGTGAATTTTAAAGCTTTATTGATAGTAAGTTTAGTGATTGAAAGTTTAGTAATTTAAGTCATTCTAACTATTTTTCGTTTTGAATGGATTGTTGTCACTTTTTTCACATTTTAAATGAATTGTTTCTTTTATTTTTGTGTATGGTTAATAACCGAACCAAACCAAACCGAAACCGATAATCACCAAACCGATAAATGTATATTATATTTGGTTTGGTTTGGTTTTGATAATTTTAAAACCGATTAAGTTGGTTTGGTTTTGGTTTTGACCAATAACCGATCCAAACCAACCCGTGAACACCCCTAGTTCCAAGCTACAAGGTAGGTTCTACACATACATCGATACGTGTAATTTTTTGACATTACAAAAAATATGTTTAATTTGATGCTAATCTTAATTAACACAAATAACTTTCCAAAACACTTCAAATTATCAACCTTTGCCTTCATAGCCAATTCAACCATTTGAGAAAGATTAACTAACAATTCTTTCATAGTTTTTGGTAAAGACATTACAAAATGAAAATCACTTTTATAGATTCAAAAAGTGTTAATTCAATATAAAAATATTTTCAAACATGTTACACTTCATAATTTATAGAAATCACGTCAAATAAGACTTAAACCATTTACAATGAAAGAAACAAATGTTATTTCAATATAAAAATGATTTCAAAATTGTTATCCTTCATAATTTATAAAATTCATGACAAATAGGACTTAAATAATTTACAATGGAAGAAATAGTGCATCCCAACCCACTGGTCCTCACAATCCAGGATTCACAATGTACCGTATTCGAAGACCAATGCAATAATATGAATTCTAGAAAAAAGCTTCAAGAAGTGCTTATTATAGAAAAGTAAGGTTGATTTGTATGATATTATATTAATTTTTTTTCAATTAAATATCCCCGCTCATCTTTTTATTTTTATCCTCTCAGCCTCGCTTCGCCACAACCGTTTGTCCTCTACTGTCCGCCCTATTGGATCATTGTTACTCATTGTTTCATAATGTATTGTATTGTACTGTACTGTATTTATGGGCGGCTTCACCCTTGACCAAGGGGTGTCAAACGATATCCCTTATATATATATATATATATATATATATATATATAAGCATTGAGACCTCTTAACACAAGTGGAAGATCTAGTCTAGTGATTAAGGTTTTGCAAAAGTTTCTTAATGTACTAATTAAATATACTAAAATGTCCTTGATTATTCTAAATACTAAATTTATCAACAATTACTAATTAAATAACAATACAATCATGCAATTTTTTTTATGTCATATGAAAATAACATAAAATTATATCACCAATTATAGTTATACTAGTAAAATTATCCGCGCCTCGCGAGAGAATTTAGTATCACGGAATTTATAAAATAATAGTTAAAATCTATCAGTCATTAAAACTAAAACACTATATTATCTTATATGCAAGATTACGTAGTAACGAAGATTAATAATTTCATAATTTATCCTTTTGCTCCCAAAATGTATTTCTATTTGATGTTTTTGGGGAATCAAATGAACATCAACCTGAGATATTAAATTTTCTAATAAATAAATAATAGCTGGTGAAGGGATAAATAAATTTCAAAAGGTTAAAAAAGTAAACAATATTCTAATTTAACGTGTAGAAAGTTCAGACACACCTTTTGCTTTGCATATATCATTTTAAAGTTCCTAATTTAAATGTATCATAAGAAATTATTAAAATAGAAAATTAAAGGAAGAATGTATCATATTGGACAACAATTCAACTTGTCATATATACTTGAAAGAGAACAATATTATACAAAACTATTCAATTTGTTTGGGTGCTTTTAAAAAATCAGCATACTAAAGTGATGAAATTCAATTTGAAACTACACTTCTATTCCAATCGCAGTGTCGAGAAACACATCTATTACTTCAAGAAAAATATTTATAACTTGCAGTAAACTTGAGAATCTATCCATACTTCATATTGAATATGAACAATTAATTTATTATGTAGTTATCTATGTCTTTGGGATTAAAAGAGGCTCCACTCTAGTCATATTCTTCTATAGGTCATCCGACACAACATCCTTGAAGCTATGTCAAAAGTTTATTAATTCTTGTCATCTTTTGATGGTTCACTTCTCACATCAAAGAACGAAAATGTTTTTAAGGTCTTTATGTTCTTACAAAGGCATACCAAATTTGTATTTTGTCTTCAAGAGATGATAGTATAGATCTTTAAGGGATTTTTATTGTACCTTCAACAATTTCAGTAGAGAAAACTTGCGTGAATACTCAATTAATGTGTGCTATTTAATATGTACTAAAAAAAATACTTATAACAATAACTTTGCAGAAACATAAATAACAAGGTTTAAAGCATGTACTCAAAAACAACAATTAATAACATAAATTAATGACTGTAAAAAATATACCAGAATCTGTAACAATAGAATGAAATAAAAAGGAAAAAATCGAGCCCACTGAATGCATAGTATCCTCTTAAGGAAATTATTTCCCTCTAGTACCCGAGGTTTAAAGGAATCGATCCCCTCAGGATAAAATGATTCTATTCATCAGTGTATTGATACAAAAATAATGGTGTTAGTGAGCCACTCAATAGGAGCAAAGTACACGAATATTTAATTGTCAGAAGAAGAAGTAGTTCAGAATTTTCGTTGTTTTAAAATGAAAGGAAATTTCTTTATTTATAGACAACAAAGGGTAGTGTGAACAAATGCTTATTGTGCCTTATCGGAAAGGTCACAACTTTTCGGAAAAGTTACAACCCTTTGAAAAGTTCACAACTTTTCATAAAAGTCGCAACTCTTCATAAAAGTCACAACTTTTTATAAAAGTCGCAATTTTTCATGAAAGTCGTAACTCTTCATATTTCATTCACATCTTTTAACATCCAACAACATGTACTTCAAATATCAATTTAAAGCTCTAATAAATGACATTGCCCTTCAATCTATATTGTACCACCCTAACAAAAAAAAAAGGATTAATTCAAATCACCAAAGGGAAAGTAAGTTTATAGAGAAACAATAGACTAATGCACGCAACAATGCAAGTATACATATGCATTTTGGCCCTATATTCGTATCTGACAATTAATTGCTTAAGTAAGTTCAAAGAGGCTGATATTTATACATATGTAAGATTTTGTGGAGGCTTAATTTGTAAGATGGTGGTGACGGTTGTGAAGGTTTCCAAGAGGAGGGAAAAGCTAGTTTTGAAAATAAATATATTAAAAGGAATCCTGATTTGTGGTGGCGCCACATGGGCTGGCCTAAAGTTCTCTTAGATATCAAACTTTATCATCACGTTTGTATCTAGATTGATTTAATTATAGTTTTAAGAAAACATATAAAGCAATATGTTGAAAGAGACCAAAGTATGAAACAAAAGGGAAGAACTTATGCTTAAATAAAGAAGAAAGAGGAAGGACAAATTTAAACAACCAAACCTAGAAGGAGACAAAGTAACGTAGTAGTTGCTTGGTATGAGGTTTGAGTAAGATTAAATAATATAGGGTAATTGGTAAAAAGTACCAAGGACATAATTGGAAAAAAATTAAGTAACAATGGGAACACACCAAATCGGTTCTTCCATAAAATGAGGTTTTTCATTGTTATGTAATAATGAAATTTAACAATACAATATAATAGATTACAAGTAGCAATCAAAACAAATATGATAGGTATGATAACAATACTATACAATGGGTAACAATGATCCAAACAGAGGGTAAACTTACGTCTTTTATCACTACTAGGATTTATCAATTTTGAATATTACAAAATTAAGAATATTTTTTCTAAAATACAAGGGCATAACTGGAAAACAATTGCAACATTTGAACATCACAAATACTTTCTCCTCCCCCATAGCTCTTTTCTGCGCGGTCTTAATAGTTTCAAATGGCTTCAAACTTTGCAGCGTAGCCAGAAGAACAAAAAATCCAATTTCAAATCCACGAATGCGAACACAATTTTCTGAACCAAATCATCAAATCTTCTTCTGGGTTTCTTCTTCTCATGGCTTCTGATACTCCTCGAGCACGCATTGATCAAGTTTGTACATTCTTCTTTTCATTTCCCCCTCCTTAAAAACCCTAGTTTTTTCCATATTTTGTTTTCAGTTTTTATGATTTAGGAACCGTATAATGCTATTGAATCGCCCAACCCTAATTTCTAATTGAGCAGTTGTAGTAGATTCTTCAAAAATCCATCTTGCATCACTTCCACATGATGGGGGCAATTTTATTTTCAATTTTTTAGTTCTTAATTCCTTTATTATCATGGTTTGATGTTTTTGGATTGTCCTTTCTAATATATGGTTAATTTTGGTATTTGTTGTTGTGTTGACTACTGTTATATTAGTTCTTTGCTTCGAAAAAGAAGAGGAAGTCCTTATCACCGAGTTTGAAACCTACAAGAGCCAAGAAAGATGTTAAGACTACACAGGAAGGGTCTCCTTCCACGAAAGGTTCGTTGAATGGGTATTTAGTGACTTCTCAGGATGATAGTAAATCTTCACACATAGCTAGAGGCACACCGGTTAAGAGAAACCTGACGTTAGAGATCGGTCCATATGTAAAAGATGAAAATAAAGAGAGTACTTTTCTGGTCGAAGCACAATCTACAACTACTGAAGCAAAAACTTCGAAGGAGAAGTCTGATATTCCCTCCGACTCACATGTTGTTGAAAATAGAGGTCATGGAAAAGATGTCTTGGTTACTACACAGGTTAATGGAAACTCAGAACTTAAGCAGTTTGCTACGAACTTTTTGTCATTATATTGCAGGTAATGCCTTTTATTCTTGATTTCCTGGTGGTGATTGGTTTTGTGGCTAATGTGGTTGCTAGGCTGGATTTGTCTCATGTTGTTTAACTTGGTAACTTTTCTATGTTTTCCTGAATTCAGTGAACTGCCATCTAGTTTAAGTTTACCTTCAGCACAGTGTGAGGGTGGTAGTAAAAGGAGTGGTGGCCCTCCCTTACTTGAGGTGGATAGTAAGAATGCAAAGAGAATCCGCTGCATCTCGAGTGAAAATGATTCTAACATCAACAGAAGATCTAATTCTGAGTGCGCAGCTTTAAATTCTATTGAGGTAGGTATTATATTTTTCCACATACCACAATATCGATTCACCGATTTTTTTTCAACTCAAGTGAGAATTTGCATCTTATGCTAGATAACAGAGGGGAATACATCAGGTGAAGCTCGGATAAGCTTGAGAAAATGTAACAATGTACCTGTCATTGGGTCAACTGAATCTGAGACACCTGGTTCAACATCTACAAAGCTTCGTATTGGAGTTACTCCCAATTCAACTCGTGGTAGCTCCATTTTTTCACCCGGAGAAGCATTTTGGAATGAAGCAATTCAAGTTGCTGATGGTTTGTTTGAGGGAAGTGATAAATTTTCTTCTCAAGCAGCACTTGAGTCCGACGCTTTGAAAAATCACAATGAGGTAATCAATTCCAATAGTCTTGGAAACGGAGAGTGTGGCAATAAGTCTCACCAAGTACTTAATGAAGGTATAGAGACAGTTTCTGATGCCGGCATTGTTTCTGCTGTTGGTTCATTGAGGAAGTTGGGAAAGGATCTGGATGGAGAGAAATCCCCAATGCCTGTTAAGCATTTTGATTTTGCCTCTGACGAAAAAAATTTCGATTTTGTACAATCTCACAGAAGTAACTTGGATATCCTGACTATTAGTGGCAAAAGAACCGGGTCCCAAGATCATCTAAGTTTGAGTGGATATCCTGTTCTTAGCCCTCACAAGGCAGCTCAAGCAAAAGGGAATATCCTTGAAGTTCAAAACAAGACTCCAGAATGTCCTGTTTCTAAGGGTAAGGATGTGCTTATCCAGGGTACTGATATAATGGCATCAACAACACCTCCGGAGAAACTTAATAGTTATACAGCTAATTCCTTATCAAGTAAAGACAACACTCCTTCAAGTATTGCACCACTAAAGAATCATTCAGATCTCAACCATTGGCTACCTTCTGAAGTATGCAACATTTACAGGAAAAAGGGGATTTCAAAATTGTACTCATGGCAGGTATGCTGTTTACCTTTAGTTTAATCTTGTCTTGGGCTTGTGAGACTTAAGAAGCTTCATATTTTATAGATCTGGAGTGATTGATTGACCCCTTTGCAATCAATTATGCATTGGATCTTCATTTGTACAGTCTGGAGTGTAAACATAGTAGATAACTGTATCTTTATTTGTCTAATTAGTGCAACCTTTGACACATAATATGATTTTTCATTAGTTGACTTCTAGGTTTTATTCAGACCGAATAGGCATATTGTACCAAACAACAACAACAACATGCCCCCAAAACAAATTTTGTGTTCATCGAAGTGTTGTATACAATTTTCAACTCTGAGACACTGTTTTGGTTTTGTTGTAATTTCTTATGCATTTTCCATAATACAAAAAATTGTGATTTGTATGAATGATATAAGATACAAAATCGAGAAAAAAGATAAACCATTTAGCAAATAACAAATAATTTCTTGAAGAGAAGGGAAAAAAATCTCATATTAAAAGCAAAGTTTGACTTGGTCGGGATTTTGTATCAATGGGAAAAATTGGTAGAATAAAATAGCATAAGAAGATCATATAAATCTTGTTTTGGGGGGTGGGGGAGTGAAGAAAAATTGTTATAGAAAATGAAAACAACTATTGACCTTCTTTAATGTATTAGGGGGAGAAGTGTGTGTGTGTGTGTGTGTGTGAGAGAGAGAGAGAGAGAGAGAGAGAGAGAGAGAGATGGGAAGTTGCAAGGGTTTAAGAAGTGTCACCTGATGGAGTGTTGACTTTATTGCTTCTAGTGAGGCGAGGTAGAGCGGAGGAAGAAAAAAATATTTTGGGTTTGGTCTTGAACCATCTGTATATGAAGGTCAAAATAAATTGTCTTTTTCTTGATTTAGTGTCAAGTTTTGTTAACCATTGAATTCAACACCATCTCACCGACTCCTGGACAAAATAATATTGGAATTTGCAGATTATCTATCCCTACACTTAATTCAATTCGGAGTTCAAGTTTCTATCAAATGTAAATGATAATATCTCATTTTCATCCTATCCCTTATGCATGGGCCTAGCAACCGCTACCTTAATGGTCATTTGCAAATTTGGATTTCTTTTGTAACAACAATAATAACAATGCATCATTCTCAAATAAGCTGGTCACATTTGACTTTCTTTTAATTAGTGGAAAATCCTCAAACATGTATATAGTATTAGCAGAACAAGGGTTCCCCACTTTATGAACATGTGTGGTACATAAGTTAGTTCAACCTCATTGACTCCCAGATGTGGTGCAAGACAAAAGGTCCCCACATCTTGGTCCAACATATTCAGATTTGGATAGGTAGTTGAAACATAGGCTCATTGACAGGAAACCAATGGAATATGCGATTATGTTAAAGAGGAGAGTTGATATCTCTTGTTTACAGGAGACTAAATGGACAAGCAATAAGGCGAGAGATTGCAATACATGCTACAAATTATGGTATTATGGAATAGACTAAATAGTAAATAGGAATGGATTGAAAATCATTGTATAACTAGGATTTAAAGACAAATTTGAGATGTTAAAAGAGTCAATTATAGGATTATCTGGTTATGAGTAGTATGTGATAAGGAGACAAGCATGAGTATTACTTATCAAAGGGTAAAAAAGACAACTAACATTTTTAGTGCATGTGTTCCTATATAGAATTGAGAAGGAACCTAAAACTGAAGTTTAAGAAGTATGGATGCCTTGGTTCAAGGGATTCCAAATGACCAATGGGTCTTTATAGGGAGAGATCAGAATGGACATGTAGATAGATATAAGTGGCAATTTTGATCGAGTACATTGGAGATATGGTCATGGTACTTTCTTTCTCTGAAAAAGATATGGTCATGGTACTTCTTTCTCGAAAAAGATGTGGTCATATTACTTGTTAGGATTGGATCGGGATAGTGCCAAATTAAATCAAACAACTTGTAATGACAATAACGGGCAATAAAGGGTCAAATGATTTACATGGTCACGCTCGTGGACAAGAGCAGTTCTACCATAACTTAAAAGTGTACCAAAAAGGAGTAAAAAACATAGATGAAAATGTACATTAGATGAAAGTTAACACATGTAGTTAAAAATAATCAATGTTTTCAAAAGCGAAAAGCGCAAAAAAGCACTAAGATCCTTTGGGGCTTTAAGTGCAAATAAAATGTGGGCATTATTGAAAAAAGGAGTGAGGGAGAAAAATACAAATATGTATGTGTAGTCCAAGATTAATAATCACAAGCATAAATAATAAATATACGGACAAAATTGAAAAAATAATTAAAATAAAGTGAATATTAATTGTTTATGTCGCATCCTTGGGATTATGCCCATTGGAAAGTGTGAGAAATATTGGACAAGAATATTATTGAATTGTGTATCTACATTATTACACAGAGACCCTATTTATATACACTATAATACAATCCTTTACCAAGTAGGATACTACATATAATTCCTATTCCTACTCCTATTCTAAGTAGGATTGTATATATATCTATTCCTATTCTAACACTCTCCCTCAAGCTAGTGCATACAAATCATATGTACCTAGCTTATTACAAATTTAATTAATATGAGGACTAGTGAGGTACTTGGTGAAGATATTTGCAAGTTGATCACTTGACTTCACAATTTTTGTAACAATATCTCTCTGAGTATCTTTCCTCTAACAAAGTGACAATCAATCTCAATATGTTTAGTACTCATGAAACACCGGATTTGATGCGATATTAAGGGCTGCTTGATTATCACACACAAGTTCCATTTGACCAATTTCTCCATCTTTTAGTTCTCTCAACAACTATTTGATCCAAACTAGCTCACTGGTTGCCATAACCATTGCTTGATATTCTACTTCTACACTTGATCGAGCAACCTCACTCTGTTTCTTACTTTTCTAGGATACTAAATTACCTCCTACTAGAACATAATATTCGGATGTAGAATGTCTATTAGAGGGTGATACCGCCCAATCAGGTCTGTATAGCTGTGATTTGCTCATGGCTTTGATCCTAGAAGATTAGTCTTTTATCGGAAGCTGATTTTATGTATCGAAATTACGAACAATTACATCCCAATGACTTATCACAAGAGGAAGTCATAAACTGATTTACAACGCTGATAAGAAAAGAGATGCCATGTTTAGTCCACTATGAGATAATTCAACTTTCCAACCAACCGTCTATACCTTTTAGGATTACTGAGTGGCTCCCCTTTATCCTAGAAGGAGTTTAAGTGTTTAACATTCGAATCCTAGTAGTGTCAATAGGTCTACATCCCATTATTCCTGTCTCTTCATAAATGCCTAAGGCATACTTGCTTTGAGAAATCACAATACTTGATCTAGACTGAGCAATCTCGATAGTCAATACCTAGAAAATACTTCAGTTTGCCGAGGTCTTTAGTCTAGAAATGCTAAAAGAGATGTTGCTTCAAATTAGTGATACCATCTTGATCATTGCCGGTAATAACGATATTATCAAATACACAATTTGGTGTAGAATGCTGATAAAACACCGAGTGATTAGCTCCACTACGAGTCACACCAAACTGTTGAATTACTCTACTGAGCTTCCCAAACTAGGCTCGATGAGACTGTTTTACACCATAGAGTGACCTACACAATTGACATACAAGGCTACTAGACTCCCCCTAAGCAACATATAGACTTCTTCCTCAAGATCACCATGTAGAAAAAACATTCTTAATGTCCAACTGATGAAAAGGCCAATGACGAACGACAACCATAGATAGAAAAAGACAGACATATGCTGTTTTAGCCATCGGAGCAAAATTGTCACTATAATCTAGCCCAAATATCTGAGTATACCCTTTGGCAACAAGGCGAGCCTCAAACCGATCAACCTGACCATCTAGACCAATTTTGAATGCATAACCCAACGACAACCAACAATAAATTTACATGCAGGAAGGGTGACAAGCTTCCAAGTACCACTCGTATGTAAAACAAACATCTCATCAATGAAGTTCGACTAAGGTGTGAGTGGGTGGGTCTCGAGGTATTATGCCTAGAAATTTAGTATAAGAAAACTAATTCATATATCTGAATTATAAACATAAATATGCATCTTTGCATCTAAATTAAGAACTTAAATGGTTTTTGAACTTAGATGCCATGACTTTTACTTCGTATATACTTAATTCTAGTTTTTTTAGTTTCTTTGTCCATATAGTTGTAAGACAATGTTTTGGACGGCAAAAGGCAACAAGGGTTTGCCTCTCCTCGTGACGCTCACCTTTTTGAATTGAGGCGCCAATTAATACCAAAAACTTCAAATATTTAATGACATATAAACATCCAAAATCTCAATAGCAATAACATATAAGCAAATATTTCAATTCAAAAACTAATAGTAGAATTAGTATAAAACTAAAATGAGTTTGGTAGAAATAAATATAGAAGGAGTAGATTTTTTTTACAAATAGACAGATTGCAGTTGTCAGTAGTGTTGAAGTGTGTGACCATCTCATCTAAAAACTTAAGCCGTTAGAGAGAGCACACTTTTTATTAGTTAATGATATTCTCAACACGCCCTCTCATGTGCAGACCTAATTCTTTTTTATGGGCCAAACACATGGAAATTCTTATTAATTTGGGTGGTGGTGAGATTCGATCCCATGATCTGTGCCTGCTATGATACCATGTGATATTAGGTCTTGGGCCTAACTCACACCCCAAAAGCTAGCTCAAAGGGAGAATGGTTGCCCAAGCCTTATAAGGAGTCCACCCATCTTATTAACCACCAATGTGGAACTTTTGTCATTCCTTAACACCGTCCTCACGCCAGTGCTTAACATCTAGTGCATGGGCAATTTTGAATTGTGGGCCCCCCAACATTGGGTGAGATGGGTCCTACTTTGATACTATGTTGAAGTGTGTGACCATTTCATCTAAAAGCTTAAGCTGTTAGAGAGAACACACTTTTATTTTTGAGACGGAGAGCACACTTTTTATTAGTTAATGATATTCTCGACACGCCCCCTCAGTGGGCTGATTCTTTTTCATGGGCCAAGCACGTGGAAATTCTTTTTAATTTGGGTGGCTATGAGATTTGTGAGTTATGCCCAAGACCTAATTTCACAAGTAGTTTGCAGAAATAAAAAAACAGAGACTATGCATACTGCTTACTGCATATGTAAGCAGAAGGAGAAGAAAAAAAGTATTGAAAATGTACCTGCTGAAGGCTACAAAGCAGAGAAGAAAGAAGAACGGAAGAAAAAAGAAGAAGAAGTACCTGGTGAAAGTCGCGAAGCTGGAGAAGAGTGTCATGATTGCGAATTGGAGAGATAAAAAGGGAGAACAACGCCGGGTTTGTCCAAAACTCCAAATAAACCCTAATATAGCCTTTTAATTATCAAATCAGGCCTATTTTTTTTAAATAATTAGAAAAGGCAACGCCTTTAGCGCCTCGCCTCGCAACTTGCCATTGCCTTGCCTTTGCTCGCCATTTTCAAGGTCGCCTCGCCTTGCCAGTAATAGGCGCAAAGGTAGCGCCTCGCCATTCGCCAAATGTGCAAAGGCGATCGCCTTTGAGAACACTGTTGTAAGGTGTTGTAAGGTCTTGTGAACATTCTACCCTCCCTAGACCCCTTGTGGGATTTCACTGGGTATGTTGTTGTTTATATAGTTGTATGTGTTTTAATTATATATTCTTGCATTACATATGGGCAACACTAACTTAGGGTAGGGTTGGGGTGATTACTCATCCCGAGTAAAATGTATTTCCACCTATGCCTTTGCATAGTTCCATTTTGCTTAGACTAGCATTTGGTTACTGGTTTTGTGCTTTGATTCATAGAAGCTTCGTTGTGGCTTTTGTTCCCCATTGTTTACTTGTTTCTGTGATGAACTCTGTTTGGAGGTATTTAGGACTTCAGAGGTTGAGGCTTCTTCAAGAGATCAAATTTGTTGTCAGTTTAAGTATGAACAAATTATTCTTTACAGTCCAATGGAGATTCATTTTACATCCTGCAGGTTGATTGTCTTCAAGTGGATGGAGTCTTGCACAACCGGAATCTTGTATATTGTGCTTCTACCAGGTCTGTATGAGCAATTTGGACTCTTATTAAACATATTTAATTCTTCATGATGTTGATGCTTTTCGTTAATTGTAAATTTGTTAGTTACATGAAGAAGATAGTTTTATGAATGCTAGAATAAACAATGCATTGTGAAGAAATATATCCACACCATATATATTAGTCATTTTTTTTTATAACCGAGAAACTCCGAGGGCTAGCGGCATATGATTTGAAACTCGATGGATAATGAGCGCGCACCCTCTACCCTTTCCACTTAAATACTAAACCTTTGTCTGCGACAGGGTTCGAATCCCTTGCATGCACCTAATTCACATATCACATGCTGTGCTCTTACCATTAGACCAAAGACCTAGGACCCATACATTAGGGCATCTCTAACCCATAACACCAAATTTTACACTAAAATAGTGTCAACACTATTTTAGTGTCAACCATCTCCAACCCACTACACTAAATTTTACATTAAAAAAGAATATTCTCTTTGTATTCTTCTCTCTTCAATATTATACTATTATTCTAGTATTATTTATATTTTCAAAAGTTTTTTATGAAACAAGTTATAATAAAATAATTAAAAAGAGATTTAGTGTTGATGAATAGTGTTACACCAAATTTGGTGTAACACTATTCACACACTAAAATCGTGTAAGAATCGGTGTTGGGTTGGAGCACTAAAACACCAATTTTTTCGTTGGAAATGGTCTTAGGTATTACTTTTTTTATGAAATTGAAAAACTTGGACCATTTCTTGATTTGTGCGTGTCATCCGTGCGCAGTTAGGCATTGTAAGTAGCGAAACAATCTTATTCTAAAACTACTTGATGTTGGAAGCTTTATAAGTTTGTGAAGTGGTGGAATTTGGAGCATCTGTTACTAATGTAAAGCCTGGTTGAGTTGTATTAGTGTCTTGAAGATTGCTTAATCTATTCATCGAACAAAGTGCTAATCCACACTATTTCTGTAACTGATCTTTTTAAAGTAGTAGTACATTAGTTTGATTTTTTACCTACCGCGGTGGATGGGGTGATCTTGTGCTCCTCTTCTTTTCCTACTCATTGTGAATGAATCTTTGCTGTCATCCATTTTACCTAGTAACATTGTTATTCATGGAGACAGTAAGTGCTGGTAGAAAAAGTCCGTTTCATCTTATTCTCTGTAAAAACTTATGAGGTCCATACTTGCTCTCGGACCATTTAAGTTGGTCCAAGTTATATTTTGCTTGCTGCTCTGAATTTTTGTGTTCTCGGGTCATTTAATTGGTCCAAGTCATTACATATTGCTTGCTGCTCAGAATATTCATGTTTTTTTTTTCTGTTAGGAAGTTGAAAAATTCTTACATAACCAAAATGAATGCCAATCCACAAACAAACTATTACTACCCTCTTCCTTGTTATCTTCGTTGCTGTTTATGTTGCTAATGTTGTATTTTTGTTCTCCTAGTATTATTACATGATTGTCACTATTATAATAATCTTTTGTTGTCTTTTATTGGAGGACAACGTTCTTATCTCCCAATTGTCCAATCCTGCATCTAGTCCTTTCAGCAATGGCAACAGATGTCATAGTGTCTCTTTGTTGTTTAACCAGTTTTTATTTTTATTTTTATTTTCTGTAGTGCTGGTAAAAGTTTTGTTGCTGAGATATTAATGTTACGGAGAATCTTATCATCTGGAAAAATGGGTCTTCTTGTACTTCCATATGTATCCATTTGTGCAGAGAAGGTGAGGTTATCTTTTAGCTCTTTCAATATGCATATATGTAGCATATATAGTATATTTATTTCGTCTAGTGTCATGTTTAAACTTGTTCAGGCAGAACATCTTGAGGTCCTTCTGGAACCAGTTGGAAAGCAGGTTCGCAGTTATTACGGTAATCAGGGAGGTGGTAGTCTCCCAAAGGATACCGCTATAGCTGTTTGCACTATTGAGAAAGCAAATTCCTTAATTAACCGACTGCTAGAAGAGGGCCGTTTGTCAGAGCTTGGTATCATAGTGATTGATGAACTCCACATGGTATTGACTTTGAAATTCTTTTCTACTATTGTTTTATTTTATTTTGATGATATCCAAGCTAAACCTCTCCATAATTTTAAGTTCACTTTCTGTTTGCTCGGAGCTGCTGTTTTGGTGTCTTTGCTGGAACTCGTAATTAAATGCATTTATTCATCTGGTCTCTTGAGTTGTTTTCATGTTAGGTTGGAGACCAGAATAGGGGTTATCTATTGGAGTTGATGTTGACCAAGCTTCGCTATGCATCTGGTGAAGGAAATACAGAGTCATCCAGTGGAGAAACTTCAGGCACGAGCAGTGGAAAAGTTGACCCTGCTGGCAGTCTCCAAATTGTTGGCATGAGTGCAACTCTCCCCAATGTGACAGCAGTCGCAGATTGGCTTCAAGTAAGATGAAATTCATAGCTTTGTAATTCTTTTCAATTAAAATCTTTATGGGTAACATCCCATGGCAGTTTCAGAAGTGTGTAAAAGTTGGATACATGGCTCAACCTGTCATCCATAAAGTTTGTCCAACTATCTATACAGAAGGGGATTCTCTTTTTACACCAAAAGCTTTACGTAAAACAAAAATGATCATTTTATACTTCTACATATCCTTAGGTCAAATAGGTGAACAACAATAATCTATTTATACTTGTGCCATTTTCACTTTTCTTGAACAAGTTTCTACCTTTTGCATTCCAAATAAATCAAAAGATATGTTATGTTGTTGTTCTCCAAGCTTCCAGTTTTCTTCCTCTAACAATGCGAAACAAACAGAATTGGTCCATATCTATGTTGTGAAGCTGCAATATTAATAAACAGTAGTTTGTTGCTCATGACACTCCTTACACAAGCAGCACTAGCTCACTACATGGAGTGATCCATGTCCTCTCTATTTCCTTCTTCTTCAGATTATTCGTCATCAAGATTGAGTGAAAAATTGAGTACTTTATTTGGTCAATTGGTATGCCCCTGTTTTCTTCCTTCCAAACAAGTCCATGTAAAATGGCTTTCCTTGAATGATTTTGCTTTGAACCCACCATACTACCTTTTGTGATCCATCTCCTTCTGCTAAGTAGTCATTGAGTTCCCTTAGGAATTCCTCAACCCCACCTACTCCAAATTTTGTGTTGCCATCCTTCAAAGTCATTTGATCACACAACAGATCCTTCCAAAAAGTAATCCTTTTCCCTGTACATGACAGTATAACCAACGTACTTAGTGAACCTTTCCTCCCCTTCACATTCCCCTTCCTTTAGGTTCACCTCATCAGAGTATGTCATCTCATCCGACAGCTATCCATTGCTTATGTCATAACCCAGACCCACTGGGCATTGCGACTTGCGAACACCTATTCTGACACCTAGATAGGAGAACCCTTACCACCCAATTTAAGAATGAGCAATGCGGAAATAAATAAAACATAATCTAACATATTATTTAAGTATGGAATTACTCTTAACTTGATTTTTAAACAAAGTCCTTTGTGAAGAAACACACTAAACCCTCCCCAAGGAACTAGTCTAAATCGGTACAAGAGCTACTAAGAAGATACAATGTATAAAAGAAAACACGACACAACTCCCACCATAAGGAAAGAGAAGTAGAAGCTGTCGAAGATCATCATCGTCCCCACCTAAGAAACATTATTGGATCCCAACTATGCCAAGTGACATAACAAGAGTTGTATCAGTACAAACAACACGTACTAGTAGGCATCATTGGTCGATCCAAACCCACCATATAATATCATGCAAATAATCAAAGAAACATGCAACTTGAAGGTAAGATTAGGACTCCATATACTCTAACCCAAGTCACACCACCTCCTTCTGCTGTCAACTCTAATATTTAAACATTCATCCCTCTTTCCACTCCATATAAGATCATAGCCTAACCCTTCTATCACATAGAGATTCCCCCAAATACAAGAACACCACTACTTTGATAATGAATTTATTACTGTCCCGCAAATTCTCATGCCAACACCTTGCGTTGACAACACTCCAGTTATACAAAATACAAACAAGTAACCACAATTTAGCAAACATATATATATATGTGATTATAATCACAATTAGAAAATAAGTGGGACTCCAAGTCCTCACCCTGAGTCGATATACATAATAATCATGAACAACCTCAACACAACAAGCCATACCTGATTCCTCACAACCTTCAAATACTCGGACCATCAAAGATCCCTAAAACATTATCTACAATGTTTAATATGTAACCTTGGTCTACACAAGAACCGTCCCAACATTTAAACACAAATCCGATCACTTATGGATCAACATGTAGTGATCCCATTACAAGACTCTCATGGAATTCACACACAAACGGTTAGTGTATTGGCGTGGGACCCTATCCAATACTAATATATATATGTGCAGCATGACGCCCGATCCAATAATAATATATATACGTGTCGAAGTGACACCCGATCCAATAATAGTATATATATGTGCCGGTGTGACACTTGATCTAATAATAATAATAATATATATATATATATATATATATATATATTTGCCGGCATGGCGCCCAATCTAATAATAATATACATATGTGCCGGTGTGGCACCCGATCCAATAATAATATATATGTGTCGGCGTGGCACCTGATCCAATAATAATATATATATGTGTCGGCGTGACACCTGATCCAATGATAATAATAATACACATAACACAAACACAACCAACCATCGCCTACCCGCCATAAATCCTTCCGGAATATCTTTACTCATAATCCAATCACCCACAATTACCTTCCCAGTATAACACCCATCCACATCATAATGCCAACAATAACAAATCAAATTCATCATTAGTCTAAATCACAACTAACCATACATTCAACCATCCAGACTCCATGCCCGAAAGCCTATGCATGCAATCTTCCAACAATCTAAAGATATTATGCAATTGGAAACAGGTCTAACTACTTAGTTAAGAAAACCTAACCTACCTTGGTGCCAAACAGTTACTGCAGAAGTCTGATCACAAACCTTTGATCTTTTGTGAAACTTTAACTTGTTCTCGGTCTAAAATAATAACACAAGTATAACATAAATCACAATTGGTCTACGTTTGGATTATATCCAAATCCTAATCTCTAGGCCAACCCAGGGCCGGCTCTATGCTTTGGGAAATAAGGCTTTTGCCTTAGGCCCCCAAATTTTTATCAAGAATAAATTATGTGTTAAAATTTTATAGAAAAAATTGATTATTTATGATAAAAAGTATAATTTTTTTTAAAATATATTAATTTACCCACTTTAACATCTTTTGTACATTGTTAAAAATAAGAATTAATAGTGAAAAGTGTGGAACAAAGTGAATTACAAATTCTTTTTTATTTCGTTTTAAATTTTAGTCTCAAGCATTACTACAATCATATTAAAATGGGGTATACCAAGTCATCAACTTCTTGCGTCAAATTCTATGGTTCTAAATCTTATCTCTATTTAATATTTATCAACTTATTACTTGTATAATTATGTTAACAATTCATATAATAATTGTCTCACTAAAAGGATGTTTTTCAATGTTGAGTTGAAAAAATCTTACCTGAAACTAATAACTAAAAAAAAATAATTAAAATACTAATAATTTTCATCTAAATAGGGTAAGAAAAATAAATTTTGAATAAATATGTATATGAGGTTTGATTATATTTTAGGCCCCGAATTGAAATATCGCTTTAGGCGCCCAATCACGTTGAGCCGCCCCTGGGCCAACCTCATGATTATTCCACCCAAACTAGGGTTTTCTCACCATTAATTCACCTAAACTATCAATCCCATGGTTAAATGAGTGAATAACGGTCAGTTTCAAAAAAATGGTTAAATTAGTGAATAACGGTAAATAAATCAAGAACAAACATTTTAAAGAATAATCCAAGGTCTTGCAGCCTAAAATCGTCATAAACCGGAGTTTTCCCCACCTTAGGATGAATCCAAACCCTCCCCTAGCGCCACAATTGCCTTCTCTAAGGCCTAGGAATCGAACTACAAAAGTAGGGAATCAGATTACTCACCTTTATGAAGATTCCTGTTGAAAAGCTGATGATATTTGCTGTAGGTCGCCCATTCTCTTTTCCAAAATGTTCTTGGATGATTATGGCCGATTTTGAGGGTTTTCCTACATTTATAGCGACTTACCAATATAGTGGCCCAATCAAACCCCAATCTCGCTATAGCGGCCCTCATCAATTTTTTTTTAAAATCCTGCTATAGCGGCTGACATGCCGCTATAGCGGCATGTAAAGGACAAGACCTCAAAAATTCCTCCAAAATAGCTTATTTCGGAACACACTTCAAAATTTTGACGTAGTCAGTTTTACTCACTTGAATTCAGTTCCAAAAAGCTCTATGAACTCTTTAACGCATTAGCTAATAGAAAACCAATTTCAATTTAGACATTTCATCCAATCCTTTCCCGGATTGCCTCGACTTTACCTCGCTCAGATTCCGTCTGAGGTTAGCCTAGGCTAAAAAGTTTTTAGTCACTATTCCAATAGTTTTCTGACCCAATTTCTTTTATCAATTGTTTACTCAGAACGACCAGACGGATTATTATAGCTTAACTCTTCATATTCATCACGTATGACAAAAAGATGAAAAGAAGCTTCATACCTGTGACTATTATCCTTCTCCATGACATTTTCTACATTTCTACTCCAATATCCATTTATCCAATTGTGTTATGTTAAAGGTTTGAAAATAATCTCTAGACCCCCTGTGCCCCCTCTCACCAAAATTTAGGGCTTTGGTTCTTTTTGAACTTCCAAATGATATTTCTCTTCCTCCTCCTTTCCTTCCCATGAAGTTGCTTGTCATTTTCTCTAACCTAGTTGCAGTACTTGAGGGCATACAAAAAGCAGAATGGACACTATGCACACCAATTATTATTATAGCAAAGGCATGAAGGTGATAGATTGTCGTAAGTTTGGATGACAATAGTTGCGTATTAAAGAGCATTTTGTGCGTGAATTGTGAAGATGGAAAAAACATAAAATGGTTTTCTTTTGAAAGGTCCTTAACTATGCATCTTAATCTTCATTGTGCCTTGGGTTCTTGGCTCAAGAGCTTCCCCTCATATCTCCGGTAATAACTACTTCTTTATGACTATTTCTTTTGCTCAATTTTTCCAACATTCACATTGATAAGGGGTCCTGAACTATGGCAACCGTAGTAGGTCAAGCTTCTTCCCATCCTTCTTTGACTTCAAATTTAGTCTTATATTTTTCAGGCTGTCCCTTTAATCTAATACCAATGAGTTGTTTTCCCAAATGTGTAACTGTTTAGGCACTTTTCTCAATCACCCTATTGCCAGGCATGTCCACAATATGGGTTGGATAATTGGTACCTGAAGTGTCACATGGACTTTATCATCCCATTTTTGAAGTCACCCATAGCTTGCCCTGTTTCCGTCGAGCTACTGCATATGAGGTTGAAATATCCTAATCTATTTAAATCTTTTTAAAAATAAATCTTGATTTGTCTCACCTGGGACGAATGTTAGTCATGCCAACTTGGTAAACATGCCCGTTCTTCCTTCTCTCATAGCTTTGACAATCAGCAACACTCTCCTTTCTCTTTAGTCCATCCACATGTTTGGGTCCTAATTGTGCCGGTTCAATCTCAAGTTTCTTTTGATTTGTTAGAATTTTTATATCATATTGTTCAACTTAATTAAAACAATCATCTGAGGTCTTCCCTGTTAATTGTCACATGAGGAAAGGGAACAATTGATGCTACAGATCATCTTACTTTAAAGCGATTTGGATCACCGACTCTGGTGTAGTTCTAACTTAATTTTATTCCAGTCTTGTACTGTACCTGTTTGTCCTTTATGCATGTGAATGTGGGGAATAAGCCTCTTTGTTCCTTCTATCCTGAATGTCTCGTGAAGCTCTCGAAGTTGTTTCTTGCAGGCAGCTTTGTATCAGACGGAGTTTCGGCCTGTTCCATTGGAAGAATATGTAAAAGTAGGTAACACAATTTATAACCAAAAAATGGACATTGTCAGAACAATCTCGAAAGCAGCTGATCTTGGTGGTAAAGATCCAGATCACATTGTGGAGCTCTGCAATGAGGTATAATTTTCTCTTTTACTTTTGTTAGTAGAACTTTATTTTGTCGAGAGAAGTAATAGAAGGAAAACTATATCAATCTGAGATTTGTTAGGTTGTCCAAGAAGGCAACTCAGTGCTAATTTTCTGCTCAAGTCGCAAAGGATGTGAATCTACTGCTAGGCATGTGGCGAAACATCTTAAAAGATTTTCCTTGAATCAACTGAGCGGCCAAAATGAGTCAATTGATATTACTTCTGCAATTGATGCTTTACGAAGATCTCCAGCTGGGTTGGATCCTATTCTGGAAGAGACTCTTCCTGCCGGTGTTGCCTATCACCATGCTGGACTCACGGTAATGTCATTTTAAAGTTCTTTTGCTGTTATAGTACGTTTATTGATTCTTACGTGTTACAGTCAATGTTTTCTTTAGTTCTCTAGGTTTTCCTGTTTTTTCTTTTGTTTGTTTGGGTGGGTGGGTTCTCTTTCCCTATTTTGGAGTAAGTCTGCATTCATCTGAGATATTTTTCTACCTTGAAGGTTGAGGAAAGAGAAACAGTTGAAACCTGTTACCGCAAAGGACTTGTACGTGTCTTAACAGCTACATCAACCTTAGCTGCAGGGGTTAACCTTCCTGCTCGGAGAGTTATTTTTCGACAACCACGTATTGGTCGTGACTTTATTGATGGTACAAGGTACCGACAGATGGCTGGTCGGGCTGGTCGGACGGGTATAGATACAAAAGGAGAGAGTGTATGTTTTGACCATTTCCTATTCGTTTCTTTTTCTTGTTCATTCAGAGCTTGCATACTTGGAAAGGTGTAATTTGTAGGTCTGATTTACAAGCTATTCTCTGTAAAATGTTTGTTAAAATGTTACAATTTTGAAGTTGCTTACACCTGTTTGACTCTATTCTCATATATTACTATTTTTCTGTCTGTATTTGCATCTTTTGCTTTCTATTTAAGTCTTCACTGCAGCTGAAACTGTGCCATAAACTTAATATTGTTTTGTTGTTTATTTGCTTCAGGTGTTGATCTGCAAACCAGAAGAGGTCAAACGAATAACGGCACTTGTTAACGAGAGCTGTCCACCGTTGCATTCTTGTTTATCCGAAGATAAGAATGGGATGATCCACGCAATATTGGAAGTTGTTGCTGGTGGTATTGTTCAAACAGCTAGTGATATTAACCGGTACGTTAGGTGTACCCTTCTCAATTCAACAAAACCATTTGATGATGTGGTTAAATCAGCACAAGATTCTCTTCGCTGGTTATGCCATAAAAAATTTCTTGGATGGAGTGAAGATACCAAATTATACACAGTCACACCTCTTGGTCGTGCAGCTTTTGGAAGTTCTCTCTCTCCTGAAGAATCACTGGTAACATAGTTGTTTCCACTTACTACCACTTTATCATCATATCATTTCTTGTCAATTTGTTCTTTTAGCCAAATGGTCCTTGTTTACATTTTGTGCAATTTAGTTAAGTGCAAATATTGGGATGGGAATCCAACAATGGTCATTCTCTTGTTTTGTAGGTTGTCTTGGATGATTTGATTAGAGCGAGGGAAGGGTTTGTGCTTGCATCTGATCTGCATGTTGTTTACTTAGTGACACCCATTAATGTTGATCTTGAGCCAGATTGGGAACTGTATTACCAGAGGTTCATGGAGTTGTCTACCCTGGATCAGGTAACTGAACTGTAGAGTTTTTCTGCATAATCATTCGTTCATTTCTAAACGATTATCATAATCCCCCCCTTTTTTTTTTTTTTTGTATAGGGGGGGGGGGGCTGGTGTCTCTATTTCCCAAGATACTCTATGCTGTCCTCCTGTCTTTTTCCTGAGATTGCCCCATGTCCATCTTGTTGTGTTTACTTGGTTGCGTGGTCACAAATCCATAATAAAGTCCGAGCACAATGGCCAAATAGATTATCTTCATGCATAAAGTACTCGACCTAGAGGGTGTTTGGATTGACTTATTTTAAGTAGCTATTGGCTTTTAAGTTCTTTTTTAAATTATTTTTGGAGGTGTTTGGGATAGACACAAAGTGCTTAAAAAGTACAAAAATAAGCTAAAAGCTACTTTAAAAAAGCCAATCCAAACACCCCTAGTAGAAAAATGGAAAAATTATCGCAAACCTCCTTACATGCTGCCAATTTGTCCTTCACTTGCTGATTGTTCGGGAGTTGACCTTTGTTTTTGCCACACCTTTCTCCAATTTTCTCATTTGATGCGTTTTCCAATAGATGAATAATATGACCACTAGACTTCATGCATTACCTGAGGCAGGACCGTAGGACTTCAACCGCTCTTAAATTATCCAGCTCCTATCAATTATCTAAAACTATTTGTGTCTTGCCTTGACAAATAAGAATGGATTCGTTGAGCTTTCTAATGTTTGTCAGTTTGCTAGGGAAAGCGTGCTAATGATTCATGAGCTATGTACTGTATAGTTGAAAAAGAGTTCTTGTGTACAGGCAAGGTACTTTAGTTTGGAGCTAATTTCTCATTCTCTGACACATGAAGTCTATGACTCCTTAATGTTAACTGCATAGCATAAGTTATTTGTCTTCAAAGATTTGTAGGTGAAGTATCTTGCATCTTCAACTAGAATGCTAGGTTAACTGGTAAACTGTGGAGTTACTATTTTCTTTCTATGCCCTAAAATATCTTATTACCTCAAGGACTACAGGACAAAAAAAGTTCTTTAGCAGGAACAGATATTTTAATGATTGGTCACTTGGTTTTAAGTTCTTTATAATCAATGTGAATAATTAGTTAATGTTCAAAGTGATTTTGATGCTTCAAGACTGCCTGATTTTTCTTTAAGGTGGCATGCCAAGAGTTGAGGTCATCAGTTTGTGCTTGATTGCTAATATGATAATTGCCTGACATTACTGTTAGAATAGGAATAGGTTTATACAATCCTATTAGAATAGGAATAGGTTTATACAATCCTATTAGAATAAGAATAAGTTTATACAATCCTATTAGAACAGGAATAGGAATAGAAATAGAAATAGGAATACTAAATAGTATCTTACTTGGTAAAGGATTGTATTCTAGGGTCTATAAATAGGGTCTCAATGTAATAATGTAAACAACAACAATTCAATAATATTCTTTTCCTATATTTCTCACATGGTATCAGAGCCTTTACGATCTTGGTAAACGATCAAAGTGATTCCGCTGCCGGCGGGCGGCTATTACTCATATATGCCGCCCGTCTGGCCAACAATTATGTTAGCAAAAGTTGGGTCACCATGTATCTTTCCGGTGACTATTTTCTCATATTTGATTTATTTAAGCACTGTGCCATCATTCCGGTGACTACTTTCTTATATCTAACTTGTAGCACCGTGCCATCTTTTCAGTGACTACTTTTTTATATCTAATTTGTGTAGCACCGTGCCATCATTCCAGTGACTATTTTTTCATATATAATTTGTGTAGCACCGTGACATCCTTCCGGTGACTACCTTTTTTTTGCATATCTTATTTGCGTAGCACCGTGCATCTCTCCGGACTACTTTTCATAATTAATTTGTGTAGTACCGTGGATTTTACCGAACTACTTTCTCATATCTGAGTTGCATAGCATCATGTCTTTTTAGTGACTCCTCAGATTTGATTTGCATAGTTCCATTCGTCTTTCCGGTGACTCCCCAAATCTGATTTGCGTAGGGTTGTGCCATCATTCCAACCATACCTATATAATTTCTCTTTTTCATTAGGGTTGTGCCATCATTCCGACCCTACCCATATTATTTCTCTTTTTCAATGGGGTCGTTCCATCAATTCGAACTATCCTATATAATTTCTATTTTCTAGTTGGGTCATGACATCATTCCGACCCTACCCATATAATTTTATTTCTTAGATTGTGACCACTTTTAGCCATCAAATCTAATACTCCGACATATGAGCATGTTTCAGCCGGTGACTCGTTTAATATCGACTCGTCTATTGATTCCAACATGATCCATATACTTTATACTAGATTTTGAGCACTTGCAACAACCATTGCATTGTGAAGAAGTATATATGGAGCAACCACCTAATTTTGTTGCTCAGGGGGAGTTTAGTAGTTTTGTATGTTGATTACGTAAGTCACTCTATGGTCTGAAACAGTCTTTGCAAGCTTGGTTTGGGAAGTTCAACACTGTAATTTTATCACTCTCTGTTTTATCGGCATTATGCATCAAATTCAGTATTTCATGAGAAGACCAAGCCCATTGAGATTGATTGTCAAATTTGTGAAGTCGAGTGATCAACTTGCAGATATCTCACCAAGCCCCTCATCGGTCCTCGTGTTAATTACATTTGTAACAAGCTAGGTACATGAATTGTATGCACTAGCTTGAGGGGGAGTGTTAGAATAGGAATAGGTTTATACAATCCTATTAGAATAGGAATAGGTTTATACAATCCTATTAGAATAAGAATAAGTTTATACAATCCTACCGTGCCATCTTTTCAGTGACTACTTTTTTATATCTAATTTGTGTAGCACCGTGCCATCATTCCGGTGACTACTTTTTCATATTTAATTTTTGTAGCACCGTGTCATCATTCCGGTGACTACTTTTTCATATTTAATTTGTGTAGCACTGTGCCATCATTCCAGTGACTACTTTTTCATATATAATTTGTGTAGCACCGTGACATCCTTCCGGTGACTACCTTTTTTTGCATATCTTATTTGCGTAGCACCGTGCATCTCTCCGGACTACTTTTCATAATTAATTTGTGTAGTACCGTGGATTTTACCGAACTACTTTCTCATATCTGAGTTGCATAGCATCATGTCTTTTTAGTGACTCCTCAGATTTGATTTGCATAGTTCCATTCGTCTTTCCGGTGACTCCCCAAATCTGATTTGCGTAGGGTTGTGCCATCATTCCAACCATACCTATATAATTTCTCTTTTTCATTAGGGTTGTGCCATCATTCCGACCCTACCCATATTATTTCTCTTTTTCAATGGGGGTCATTCCATCAATTCGAACTATCCTATATAATTTCTATTTTCTAGTTGGGTCGTGACATCATTCCAACCCTACCCATATAATTTTATTTCTTAGATTGTGACCACTTTTATCCATCAAATCAATACTCCGGCATATAAGCATGTTCCGGCCAATTTTTCGGTGACTTTCTTGTTAAATATTGACACGTCTATTGATTCCAACATGATCCATACACTTTATACTAGATTTTGAGCACTTCCGGCGACCGTTGCATTGTGAAGAAGTCTATATGGAGCAACCACCTAATTTGTTGCTCAGGGGGAGTTTAGTAGCCTTGTATGTTGATTACGTAAGTCACTCTATGGTCTGAAATAGTTTTTGCAAGCTTGGTTTGGGAAGTTCAACACTGTAATTTTATCACTCTCTGTTTTATCGGCATTATGCATCAAATTCAGTATTTCATGAGAAGACCAAGCCCATTGAGATTGATTGTCAAATTTGTGAAGTCGAGTGATCAACTTGCAGATATCTCACCAAGCCCCTCATCGGTCCTCGTGTTAATTACATTTGTAACAAGCTAGGTACATGAATTGTATGTACTAGCTTGAGGGGGAGTGTTAGAATAGGAATAGGTTTATACAATCCTATTAGAATAGGAATAGGTTTATACAATCCTATTAGAATAAGAATAAGTTTATACAATCCTATTAGAACAGGAATAGGAATAGAAATAGAAATAGGAATACTAAATAGTATCCTACTTGGTAAAGGATTGTATTCTAGGGTCTATAAATAGGGTCTCAATGTAATAATGTAAACAACAACAAATCAATAATATTCTTTTCCTATATTTCTCACATGAGATAAATTTGTTCCTACAATCATGATGACTGTGATGGAGACATTTGTGTGCTCTGTGTTTTGATGTGCAGTCAGTTGGCAATCGGGCTGGAGTTCAAGAACCCTTTTTGATGCGAATGGCTCACGGTGCACCAGTTCGTGCATCTTATAGGTCAAAGGCTGGTACTAAAGGGCTGCAGGGAAAGTTGGATAACAGATCTCTGAATGACCATATGCTGTCAGATGAGAATATGCTTCGCATCTGTCGGAGATTCTTTGTGGCTCTTATACTGTCAAGGCTCGTGCAGGTAAATTTCCTTGAAATGAATGGAAAACACTACTGTTGCCCTCTCTCTCTCACCTCTTCTTCATTTTATTCATAGTTGCAGTGTAGAACACACTTATTATGTTTTATTGTGAATACCTGCTATTAGAATCATAAGTTTGGTGGTAGAATGTTAGAGTTAAATATTGGAAGAGTTATGTTCTAATGTGAGATATTGTCCCGTGTTGGACAATTATCATGTGTGTCACAACCCAAATTAGGGGCGCGTGACCGGCATTAAACAAGCTTGGCTCTCCCCCGCGAACCCCTTTCCCTGTTGTATCAACTAAATATAAAACAATAGCATATCATAGAATTGCATGAAAACATCACATATCTGAATAAGCTTAGATGAGAGGCATAGCTCGATTATACATATACATATATCAGAATGAGTCAATGCCAATGGAGCTTCTATGGAATTCATTACATATAAGTAGAAATGGGACATAGCCCGACATGTAATATTAATGGGAGAATTGACAAGAGAAGCCTCCACAAGTCTAGTATGGGGGCTTACCACTGAAAGTATGCAAGTGGTATTCAACTCGAGCAATCTGGTGTGATACTTGAACTTGTACCACAAAGGTCAATGAGGTGAGTATTCAAATACACATTAAGAGCCTGCTTGGATTAACTTAAAAGTTAGTCATACCTACTTTTAAGTCATTTTTAGCTTTTGAAAGTGTTTGACAAAGTTAAAAATAACTTCAAATAAGTTTAAAATGACTTGAAAAAAGTTATAAACCAAAAGTAGGACTCCCCCTACGTTTTATTTTTTTACTTAAAAGTCATTTAAAGTTTGATTTTTATTTTTTTACTTAAAAACTACTTTTTTTCAGCCTATCTAAACAAGCTCTAAGTCTCATCGACCTCCCTCTAAAAGGCTGGACATGTTTTTTTCTTTGTTAAGAAAACATGCACTTTAATATTAAAATCAGATTTTTCATGCACATCAATAACATCTCAAACTAATAAACATGGTAAATCATTAAAGAATCATTTCTTGAATTACAGTGCTCTCTGTAGGCCATAAACACGTTCTTTTCTCATTTCTGGGGAGTTTCCTACTTCCTACTAGACAGTGACATTCAACACATCTTGTCTGATCACCCACTTGATTGGCTAGTGGTGAATCCTTTCGTAATGTCATACTAATGGAACAAGATATGCTAGCAACCCTAGCCAAGTACACTATCATTTTAAGGTGGATAGACATACACACGTGGATTTTGGGGAATTGAACCCATACGTCCAGTGGCGGAGCCGGAACCAGAAATTTATACAAGGGCATTTTCTAGAATGTCACAGTTGTAATTTGAACATATGACCTAAAGCAATTTTGTACCCCCTTTACCACTATACTTGAATTTTTCTTCATGTCAAGGGGATTCAACTGCTCACATATAACCATAAGTAGAACATTTTTACTCTAATAGAAAAGGAAAATAGTCCTTTGATTATTCTAGATAGTCCAGAATTAAGGGATAATTCTATTCTAAATCCAATCCCTAAAAATCTGAAACTTCCTAACTTATCTGATATGATTAGATCCCATGTGATCAGAATCAGATAATACAAATCAACATGACTAATGTCATACTCTCATTTTAGCTCCTTTCCTTCAGAAGGGGAGCCCATAGGCGTGAAACTCAGATTGGACTTAGAAACCCCCGCGGAGTTGATCACTCACTTTGGCCAGGGGAGTGATAGAGACCATCGTTTTGTTGAGAGCGCCAGAGCCCTTCAGTGCTACAAGGATATAAAATTCCCAATGGGAGAACATGCTCTCAGAGAGGAGCAAAGAAGGTTGACTTGGAATTTGTTCAGTTAGATGGTCATCTAGATCTTAACTCAAACCTACGGGCGCCACCTATTAAACACACATCGATTCTCATCTGATCCAACTCGTCCTTCCACGGTACCCTCCCAGAGTTATTCCCAAAACCCTCCGTAAAAGAACGATCTGGAATCAGTGACATAATTTCCGTCGATAAAAATTGAATATATTGGAGGAGAAGTGGAGAAAGGGTTGAATACAAGACTACCAGATTGTATTCATTATTTACATTCAAATAATAGATACGTTGTGAATTACTAGATTTCTTTTTATACCTCAGTCTTTCTTGGCACTTGTTGAGAAGGTAAAATATCCTGCAACATATGATATCAAATTCTTATTGTCGCCTTAGTATCTAAAGGCCACATGTGTTGTGCTGTTTTGTCCTATAGACATAATATAGTTTTCCTTGTGAGAAACCAAAAAGATAAAATATCGTTCTCACGTTACTTTAAGTATCATTCTCGAGGTTCCGTTCATTATTTTGATGATAATTAAATTCTGCTCGGGGTAGGGGTATTACAATCTGTCTTGTGTTTATCAACTATAAATAGGTGTGCGTTGTATTCCTCAAATATTGTAGTCTTTAATATATCTTTCTATTCTCTTACTTATCGCACCTGCAAGTACTGAATCGATGATTAGCATCATTTTATTCCTTCAACACTTTTTTCTCTAGCTAATTGTTGAGATATTTTTTCTTTTTATGTATACATGTCCTCCTTTTATGTGTTCGGGTTCAAATGAATTTTATCAACTGTTGTATGTACACTTTGAGTGCTATGCGTTTCTTGTCAACCATTGAGTTCTCTCTTGCTCATCGATGCTTGGGAAGTAGTCTTGCCATAGTCTTCTTAATTCCAAGTTCTCATTATGTGATGAAGGAAGTGCCAGTTATCGAGGTTTGTGGTGCATTTAAAGTTGCAAGGGGCATGGTTCAGGCCTTACAAGAAAATGCTGGAAGGTTTGCTTCCATGGTTTCTGTTTTTTGTGAGAGGCTTGGTTGGCATGACCTTGAAGGCTTAGTATCAAAGTTCCAAAATCGTGTCTCATTTGGTGTGCGGGCAGAGATTGTAGAGCTCACCACCATTCCATATGTTAAGGTAACTAAGAGTTTCTCTTCCCTATATGTTTCTCCTTATTTTGGTCAAGTTCTTTAAAACTAATGAGAAGTCACCAGGGTTCCCGAGCTCGAGCACTATATAAAGCGGGTCTTCGGACACCTGAAGCAATTGCTGAAGCATCAGTTCCTGAGATGATCAAAGTACTTTTTGAGTCTTCATCATGGGCTGACCAAGGTGAGTTACGAGGATTTGGGACCACATTGATGGCCTGTTACTTACCCTAATGAGAATGCTTCATGTACTGGATGGAGACCATTACTTTCTTTGTTTATCCATGGAGTGGTCTATCTGCTTTTGACATCCCTATATTTGAGAAGCAAAGGGGACATAGTAAACTATGATGCTTATGACTCACTTTTCATAAGGTTCTGCAAGGTTTACTATATGTTATAACAAGCAACAGAAGTTGAGAAATGTAATGTCACCATCATTCTTGTTGCTTCAGTATGCTTCTTTGTTTCTTCCTTCTACCGTTCCTGTTTCCTCATAGTATGCGGGACTAATTTACTCTTATTCATTTGATGCAACACTATAGTCTCTGAAAGTTTAGATACTGCAAAAGTATATATTATTCATAGTGTTTGTACAATATTTATAAGAGAACAAGTAAAGACCAATTAAACTAATCAATCCCTAATTCTTAGGAAATCCTTGAATCAAGGGATTTCCTCTAAACTATTTTCCTAGAATAATATATTCTAATCCCATATTCACAGGAGCAGATTCTAATCAAATCTGCCAGCTTTATTTGTGGAGCAGATTATAATCAAATCTGCCAGCTCAATGGTGGAGCAGATTATGATTAAATCTGCCTACTCATTCAACACTCCCCCTCAAGTTGGCATGTAAATATCAAACATGCCTAACTTGCTCACAAAGGACTCAAAAGTAGTTCTGAAAAGACCTTTTGTGAAAATATCTGCAACTTGTTCTGTTGTTGGCACAAAAGGAATGCACACATTTCCATCTTCAATCTTCTCTTTAATGAAGTGTCTGTCCACTTCAACATGCTTTGTTCTATCATGTTGAACTGGATTATGAGCAATGCTTATGGCAGCCTTATTGTCACAATACAACTTCATTGGAAAACTCACAGGTCTTCTTAGTTCTTCCAAAAATCTCTTGAGCCACAATATTTCACAAATTCCGTGTGCCATGGATCGATACTCAGCCTCAGCACTACTTCGAGCCACCACATTTTGCTTCTTACTTCTCCATGTCACCAAATTTCCCCAAACAAATGTACAATATCCAGATGTAGACCTCCTATCAATAGATGAACCAGCCCAGTCTGCATCCGTATAAGCCTCAACATTTGTTTGCTCGTTCTTCTTGAAGAACAACCCTTTCCTAGGTGAACTCTTTAGATACCTTAGGATTCGATTCACAGCTTCTTGGTGTTCTTCTCGTGGAGAATGCATGAACTGACTGACTAGGCTCACAGCAAAGGAAATATCAGGTCTAGTATGTGACAAGTAAATCAACTTGCCTACCAATCTCTGATATTGGCCCTTATCAATCAATTTTCCTTCCTTAACAAACTTCAGATTTGGATCAATTGGAGTTTCAATTGGTCTACAACCACTCATTCCTGTTTCTTTTAACAGATCAAGAACATACTTCCTTTGTGACACTATAATTCCTTTCTTCGATCATGCAACCTCCATGCCAAGAAAGTACTTTAGCGGGCCTAAGTCCTTTATCTCAAATTCTGAGGCAAGACGTTCCCTTAGATTTTTGATCTCAACCACATCATCTCCTGTGAGGATAATATCGTCAACATACACTATAAGAACGGTTGTTTTTCCTTCCAGTGAATGTCGAGTAAACATTGTGTGATCTGCTTGTCCCTGCACATACCCTTGCTTTTTCACAAATTGAGTAAACCTTTCGAACCAAGCCCTTGGAGATTGTTTTAGACCATAAAGAGATCTTCTAAGCCTGCATATCTTTGACTTGTACTTCCCTTCAAAACCTGGTGGGGGATCCATATAGACTTCTTCCTCTAAGTGCCCATTCAAGAAAGCATTCTTCACATCCAACTGCTGAAGAGACCAGTTGAGATTTACTGTGATTGTCAACAAAACTCTAATTGAGTTTAGCTTAGCTACTGGAGCAAACGTCTCGAGATAGTCAATGCCATATGTCTGCGTGAATCCCTTAGCTACTAGGCGGGCCTTATACCTTTCCAAGGATCCGTCTGATTTGAATTTGGTGGTGAACACCCATTTACAACCCACTGGTTTCTTTTCCTCAGGTAAATCCACTAGATCCTATGTCTCATTTTTTTCAAGAGCTCGTAATTCCTCCAAAATAGCCTCCTTCCACTCGGGAACTTATAGAGCATCCTACACATTTGTTGGAATCTCCACACTAGAGAGTTGTGAAGTAAAGGCTGAATAACTAGGAGATAACTTTTTGTAGGACACAAACATAGACATAGGATATTTAGAAGTAAATCTAACACCTTTGCGTTTCGCAATAGATAGATCTAGATCTAAGGATTTAGAAATAGAATTAGTTGGAAGAGTACCTTGAATTATAGTAAGGTCTTGTGGGACTGATTTTTGGCAGTGTTGAGAATCTTCGGTCTTTTTTTCTTGAGTTCGGTTCCTTCTCGAATACGCATTTCTGTTTTTTGTTCTCTATTCCCATTTTTATTTTTGTCATTTGAAGGCGCTACAGGTTCAAGTTCAATTTCCGAGTTTTTATCATTTAAGTCACTTTGGTCCTTATCATCTCTTGGATCACACTTATTTATATCTTCTCCTACATCTCTCACATCAGTATTTATTGTAATATCAGGCTCTTCATTTGCTTGATATCTAGTTTCCTCAATATCACAAAAAAAAAGAATCTTCACCTACATGATACTCCCCCTGAAGATGAGTAGTAAAATAGAGTTGCGACTCAAAGAAAGTTAGGTCCATTGTGACAATTATCTTCCTAGCATGTGGATCATAACACTTATATCCCTTTTGACTTGGGGCATATCCTACAAAAATACACTTCTTAGCCCGCGGTTCAAGTTTACTACGATTATGGACATGAACAAATGTTGTACAACCAAAAACCCTCAGAGGCAGATCTGTAGTTAACCTAGAACTAGGAAAACTTTCTTTGAAAACTTTAAAAGGTGTCTTAAATTCAAGAGGGCGAGATGGCATCCTATTAATAAGGTAAGTGGCAGTCAAGAGAGCCTCTCCCCAAAGGTGTTGTGGAACTTTACTAGTAAACATTAAAGCTTTCGTTACCTCTAAAAGGTGTCTATTCTTTCTTTCGGCGATACCATTTTGTTGAGGTGTATCTGGACAAGAGCTTTGGTGTACTACCCCAGTTTTTCTAAAAAAACTTCCTAATTGTTCATTAAAAAAATTCACGGCCATTGTCACTCCGAAAAATCTTGATTTTCTCATTGAACTGTGTTTCCACCATGACATAGAAAGTCTCAAACACATTTTTAACCATGTTAAATTAGGTCTTAGGCCTAACTCACACCCCAAAAGCTAACTCAAAGGGAGGAGGATTGCCCAAGCCTTATAAAGAGTCCACCCATCTCATTAACCACCGATGTGGGACTTTTGTCATTCTTTAACACCCCACCTCACGCCCAGTGCTTAGCATCTTGTGCGTGGGGCAATTTTTGATTTTGGGGGCCCCAACATCGGGTGAGACAGGCCCTGCTCTGATACCATGAAAGCTTAGATACTGCAAAAGTATATATTATTCATAGTGTTTGTACAATATTTATAAGAGAACAAGTAAAGGCCAATTAAACTAATCAATCCCTAATTCTTAGGAAATCCTTGAATCAAGGGATTTCCTCTAAACTATTTTCCTAGAATAATATATTCTAATCCCACATTCACAGGAGCAGATTATAATCAAATCTGCCAGCTCAATGGTGGAGCAGATTATGATTAAATCTGCCTACTCATTCAACAGTCTCCACTTTCCGTTTGTGCAAGAAACCACAGTTCAATATATTGTACTGCTGTTGAAATGCATATTTCTGCTATCCCATTTTTCCTTCTGCTGACATTCCTTCACATTTTCATCTATGCTCATAAATGCTCCAGTGGTTTAAGATTGCCATATTAAATGATTATTTGTTTGTCTATTAATTGGGTAACTTGTTTTATCAACTATGGAAGGTTCTGCACAACGGAGGATCCAATTAGGAGTTGCGAAAAAGATAAAAAATGGTGCACGCAAGATTGTTCTCGATAAAGCTGAGGAAGCAAGGCTTGCTGCATTCTCAGCTTTCAAGTCGCTTGGACTTGATGTGTCAACGCTTGCACAGCCTGTCATATCTACTGCTGCTGGACATGGTGCTCACAAAGAAGCTAGTACCTCCTCTGCAGAAGGGTCGACTAGTAGCTTTATTAGCCTGGAGAATGCAAATCGAATCTCTTCCACATCCATAGAAAGAAGTAAGGAGGTCAATATCACTATTCCTGATGCTGGAGCAGAAAATGCAAAAAGCAAAACAATTGCTGACAAAGAGGCATTTCATATAGAAGGATCTAATGGTCTTAATGCTGAAGTTAATGAATCTACTCCTCATATTGATAATGCAAAGACTTCCCCTTATCCTACTTTAAAAATTAAGGGCATCGAAGGAGGTGGTACATGTACTGATCATAATCATGCTGGGAAACAACACTGTGAAGGAGCTGAGATATGTAATGTAAGAGTCAAAGAAACATCAGAGAAGGGGCCTATGAATGCGACTGCTGTTGTTGGTGGATTTGATACTTTCCTGGGTCTCTGGGAAGCTGCTGAGGAGTTTTACTTTGATGTCCATTTCAGCAAAAAGTCTGCACTGAACAGCATTGCCCCATTTGAAATATATGGCATAGCCATTTGTTGGGAAGATTCTCCTGTCTATTATGTAAATCTTCCGAGGGACTTATTTTGGTCCAACAGCAAAAGGAATAGCCAATCGTCGCCCATTACCAGTGGTGATATTGGGAATGTTCTACCGCCAAATCTTCAGTGGGAGATAGCGATACACCGATGGAATAGAATTAGTACCATAATGAGAAAAAAAGATATAAAAAAGTTTACATGGAACTTAAAAGTTCAGATTCAGGTACTCAAGCATCCTACTGTTTCAATTCAGAGAGTTGGTGGTTTGAGTCTTTTGGTCAAATCTCTCGGAGTGGATCTTATTGACAACAATTGCTATCTGTTGTCTCCTGTTCCCATTCAAGATGCAATTGACTTGTGTATAGTAGCTTGGGTCCTCTGGCCTGATGAGGAGAAAGGTTCTAACCCTAGTATAGAAAAGGTAACCCTAATATCTCGTAATAATCAGCTTGAACATATTATAATTTATACATTTGTTCTCATAGAGGTTATTGCTGTTATAGTTATACATAGTGTTGTTTTTGTTTCCCTTTGTGTAAGGTCTATGAAATACTGTCGCTAAGTTATCAGTGAACTAGATAACCTAGCCTTTTGTTGTCCTGGAACATCTAGTGCCCATTGAACAATTGCTGACTATAAGTGCATTATTGTCTAAAAACTTTTCCTCTAAGGTTGCCATGTTCCTGCAGGAAGTGAAGAAAAGGTTATCCATCGAGGCTGCTGCTGCCGCTAATCGAAATGGTAGATGGAAGAATCAGATGCGACAAGTTGCTCATAATGGTTGTTGTCGTCGAGTAGCACAAACACGAGCTTTGCGTTCTGTTCTATGGAAATTAGTCATTTCTGAAGGACTTGTTGAGGCACTTGGAGCAACTGAAATGCCATTGGTAGGGAGATATTGCATGTGATCCATTTCTAGTGCAACCATACAATGTTTTATCCCTTCTAGAAATCATTGCGAAGGTGGATCATCTTTCAATCTAACTTGTGATGGATTGGGATTAAATAATGTAAAATATGGGAAATGCAAGCTTTTTCTGTGGTCCTTGCTATGGGGCATCAAAGCTATCCAACCAAGTAACTGGTCAAATCTGTAATAAGTTAATTCATTACTGCCACATCCAGGATCTTAGGAAAGGGGAGCTGACCCCAAGTTTTTGCAACTTTCTTCCGGTTCTTTGCGATAAATAAATTATTGTCCATAGAATATTTGGTCTTTTCCTAGTATTTTAATGCTTGCCCAGCACAAGACAGACCTGGATTATGTGTGATGAATTCTAAAATTTTTATCGAATAAATGAACTTTAGAAGAAAATTGACATAGGTGATGTGTTATTCTATCATTTTTGTTCTCTTTCTTTATGGGAGGCAGAACAATCTGGCATGAGCCTAAAAGCCTAAGTACATGTCAGTTGTACCTAATAGGGTGTTCATCAAGAAGTTTGCTTTCTTTAAAGTAGTAATTGTCCTTCCCCCCTTTCTACATGAAGAACTGAAAAAAATCCATTGAGGCATTTGCAGATGTGTAACATCTATTATTCACTGTCTAATCGATTCAACAATCCGTAGAAAAACATTTTTTTTCAGTTTTGTAATTTTAAATAGAGTATAGATGCAATGAGCTGAAGTATCTTTGTCTTGAAGAAGGCCTATCACACTATTAAGAATGTTTTCATCTTCATCTCTTCCTTCGTATAATTTAGATGCTATCGTACTTGTTTGGTTCTCAAGCAAAATAGAACTGCTTCTTTTTCTAAATAATTCAAGCTTTAATACTTGAAAGGATTACAAGCTTTTTATTCTTGTTTGGAGAACAATGATGTAAATATTCTCCAGAGGGAAGTTCTTATTACTTGTTAAAGGGTATGCCATTCCCAATGTTGGAAGTAATTGATATATGTGTTTATCTTGTAGGTCAATGTTCTTGCAGACATGGAGCTCTGCGGAATAGGTGTTGACATGGAAGGATGCCTACAGGCACGGCAAATTCTGGGAAGAAAGCTGAAGATTCTGGAAAAGGAAGCTTACAAGTTGGCTGGCATGACTTTTTCATTGTACACAGCAGCAGAAATTGCGAATGTACTCTATGGGCATCTACAGCTTCCTGTTCCAGAAGGACGTAAAAAAGGAAAGAAGCACCCTAGTACTGATAAGCATTGCTTGGATTTGCTAAGGTACTAAAAGATTTTTCTGTTAATATGATCCCTATTGAAGGAAGATACTTTCTTGCCGCTTAACTCTGATCTTCTCCTACTGCATGATTATGTTTTATGCAGTTATCTAGGGTCATTTATCCTCTGGTCCCCCATCCCAATAAAAGAAGTAATAAGAAAGAACTTTTAGCTAGGCCCAGTTGCATTGTTAAATCACAAGGATTTATGTCATTTTAGTTTAGCTTCTTCCATAGTTGATTGTGTTATCCTCTGTCTATAGCGACTAAACAATCCAGCAGATCCCACCCATCCAATTAGAAGAAGTGAAGAGAGCCTTTGGCCAGGGCCAGATTAACCTTCAGACCACTAGTTTTTGCCTCTTCTTGGTTTAGTTCTTTTATTGGTTAGTTGTTTCTTCCTCTTTGTCTATGCTGCCTATTTATCATCATTCCCTCGGTCCACACCTGGCAGTTTCACTGTTTAGACACAAGTTTTTATGTTCTTTCCTTGGCACAGTTGTATGTCCCTCTTTATCTAGGCTGCCTATTATGACTACAATAAATATCCATATATACAAGACCAAACCAGTTGGAATGTAGACTTAGTTATGTTGGTATCTTACATTAGGTCTGGTGTTTTATAGGAGTTCCTTTAGTTTGTTAGGGATTGGTATTTCAGTTGTAAATGGAGAACCTCTAGTCTTAGAGAACCCCTAATTTTGTTTTAAAGAAAGTTTTGAGTGTTGGAATAGATATTGACTATTCATATAGCACACTCCAAACAATTCGGGTTAATGCACATTGGCACAATAGTTGTTTGTTTGAGCAATATGTGACGTTGTACTTCTGATGTCTTGGTTGTTGATATGATATAAACAAAAATTGTGAAACACCATGGTGGGTCAAGTTCTATTCTCTGGTAATTCCTACTTTCTGGTGATCAATAGGATATGCAATAAGTACTGCACATCTATGTAATTTTCATTTACTGTTTCTGTTTTGACCTTTTACATGTCTGGATTGAAGTTTTTCCCCTTTTTTCAGGAATGAACATCCAATAGTACCTATAATTAAAGAGCACCGTACTCTAGCAAAACTCTTGAATTGTACATTGGGGTCGATCTGTTCACTTGCTAGACTATCTATGAGGACACAGAGATACACACTGCATGGTCATTGGCTCCAGACGACAACAGCAACAGGGCGACTGTCAATGGAGGAACCTAATCTTCAGGTTCCCTTTTATTCCATTATTTCATTGTTATTAGTGAATCATCCTCAAAGATAATATAACCTGTGTTGGTTAATTTGTTTTGTTTTATTTATCTAGTGTGTTGAACATATGGTTGACTTCAAAATGCATAACAAGGATAAAGACGTTTGTCCGTTAGATGTCAATAATTATAAGATCAATGCTCGTGATTTTTTTGTGTCTACTCAGGTATCTCTTGATTAATTTTAAGTTACTTTTTATATGAAATTATCTTTTTGGATGGTTTCAGTTGAATATTGTACTTACTCTTTCACAGGACAATTGGTTACTATTAACAGCAGATTATTCCCAGATAGAACTGAGATTGATGGCCCATTTCTCTAAAGATTCCTCGTTGATCGAACTGCTTAGTGAACCCCAAGGTGATGTCTTCAACATGATTGCTGCAAAATGGACAGGTAAAACAGAGGCTATTGTGAGTCAAGAGGAGCGAGATCAAACTAAAAGGTTGGTTTACGGCATTCTTTATGGAATGGGGGCTAAGAGCCTTGCAGAACAAATCGATTGTAGCGCAGATGAAGCTGCTGAAAGAATCGAAAGCTTTAAAAGATCTTTTCCAGGTGTTGCTTCCTGGCTACAGGAAGCAGTTACATCTTGCCGTGAGAAAGGGTGAGATCAATTTAGTAAAAGTGTGTTTCACCAATTTTTAATAGTTCTTTTTCTGTTTATAGTTTCTTTATTTCTTCTATTTCGTTATGATGTATTAGATGCAGTTAAAGAATTTTTGGTTGAAGTATTTGAAACTAATTTGATCCTCCTAAAATCAAGTTAGTGAGGCACTATAGTTGTTGTTTGATGTTTTAATTTTCATACGAGAAGGCACTCTTGTTTATGTTGACTACTTGATCTTTCCTTCTCCTTTTTCATGTTAAGCTTGTAAGGATCTAGTTAGTGGTTGTAATATTACTCCATGTTTTGCCTTGTGCCTGCCCCAGCAATCACAGAAACCTGGTTCCGTCCTTTTTGATACACATATGTTTCTTATAATTTCTTGCAAGGTCTCACGTTCAGGGTCACTTTATTGGCACTGTTGCACGTAGTGCTTCGTAAGTTCCATCTTTTGTTTCCTTCTCCTGTGCACTTGTTGAAAATTTCTCATCCTTTGAATGAGAAAATGCCTGCCGCAGTATCTGATTCATATACGTCAACTGGTGGATCTTCTTATTCTAGGAATCTTTTTATGGATTATTGTTTTCATCTTTTAATTTTATACTATGCCTCTCTATTTCATTCTCTTTCTTTCGTTCTCTCTCTCTCTTTCTCTATCTTCTCTCATTAGATATCTTTCTTCCATCTCTTAAATCTTCCCATTGCCTTTTTTCCTTATATCCTTCTGGTTGTACATCATGCACCCGAGTCATTAAACCTAGGAGTAATGTTACTATTCATTAGTTGAAAGATGTTGACTTGACTTTTCTCAGTTCAGGTTGGAAATCAGAAGATCATGTATATTATACATGTTGTGTTGTTTTATAAGACATTGCAGGCGGTTGCTAGGCCTCATATGTTGCACACAGATTGTTGATGGCCATGTTTATCTGCTGAAACCTGAAAATGAATGACTTTGCAACTGTTCTTTCTTTTAATAGTTCGATCTTCGTTCTTTCTAAGCTAGTCGTATTTTTAGTTGGTGCAGTAACACATTATTAATTCTCGTTACATATACAACCTTTTTTATTGGTATTTCTTAAATAGTTGCCCTTGCTTTTGTGATGCAGTTATATAGAGACCCTCAAGGGACGAAAGCGTTTCTTGGCAAAAATTAACTTCGGAAACAGTAAGGAAAAGTCTAAAGCTCAGAGGCAAGCTGTGAATTCTATCTGCCAGGTTGTTTTGCTTTCTTTTCCACTTCTGAGTTTTGCCCCATCCTTCCCTTCCTCAATTATTTGCCTTCTCTATTTACCCATTTAACATTGCCTTTTTTGTCTCTATGTCTGCAATTAGGGGTCAGCTGCAGACATTATCAAGATTGCAATGATAAACATTCACTCTGTGCTTGATCATTTTGAGAAATCTCTGTCCCATTCTGCGGTTGATGAAAAGTTTCATGTGCTTAAAGGACGTTGTCGGATTATTTTACAGGTAGTTTTCAAGTATTCTCTACCTGAACAGAAAATCTTTCACTTGGTTCTTCATCTGTTTTCAATTATGACACTGACATTTCACACCCCTAATTAGTCAGTTTTTGGTACTCTCAGAAAGGACTTTTTTGTCTCTAAAGAAAAAGAGGGATAAAGCAGTCCGTATTCTTTTAACAGTAGCAGTTTATGTTGTGGTTCTAGGGATGGCAATGGGGCGGGGGCGGGGGCGGGGGCGGGGGCGGTTTAGAGCCTGTTTGGATTAGCGTAAAAGTTGGTCAAACCTACTTTTTAAGTCATTTTTAGTTTTTGGGAGTGTTTGACAAAGTTAAAAATAACTTAAAATAAGTTTAAAATGACTTAAAAAAAGTTAAAAGTTAAAAGCAGGTACTCCCCTACTTTTCATTTTTTAACTTAAAGTTACTTAAGCTTGATTTTTTAAAAACTACTTTTTTTTAAGTTAATCCAAACGTGCTCTTAGTCAAACACACAAAATTCTAAATCCGCCCCACATAACATTTTTTTTTCTATTCTCAACCCGCTCCGCCCGTCCTGCCCCTCTTAAGTTTTTTTTTCTTTATTTTATTATTTTCTTATACAAATATTTCAAAGTTTTATAAATCACCATTGTTATATTTAGAATTATTTAACAGTCGATTTAAAACTATTTTATTAGGCTATAAGCTAGCAACATTTTCATCGATAACTATTTTATAAACCCACTCCACTGTTTACTGCTCCAGTGTTTGTCAATGCAGCCTACGATGGCTGCCCATGTCTTTTTACTACTTACGGGTTGGGACTTTCTTTTGTAAAAATATATTCTATCATTTATTAAATTTAATAGAACATGATATTTTATAAGTTTTGGGGAATAAATTTTTTCATTAACTTTTTATTGAATATTACTCTTGCCTGAGATATCTCATCTAAATACATATTTAAATGTTCACTATTGCAAAACTGGTTATTTCCTAGAGTTGGTCAAATTCAGATGAAGTAAGGGAAGACATTAACATTATCTATTTTCTTTTTCAAGAATTACATATTTATTCTCAAGTAGGAGTAGTATTCAACCATAAAACAATAGAAGATTTTATTGCCTAAAAATTATAAAATATCATGTTCTATTAAATAATTTTTTTGATAAAATATCATTTTAGAAAGTTAAGTCATGGACTAATTTTAACTTCTTTTCCTTTTACGTTTTTACCATTAACAGAGGTATAATCAATAATTGAAAATAAACTCAAACTAAATCCCAACTTTTAAAAAGTAAAAAAGGCATGCGCAGCAGCAAGCTAAAGCTGCATCGACAAATATTGGAGGAGACCCGCACCCGCCCTGCCCTCCCCCATTGCCATTCTTATGCGGTTCAATTGCTCATAGTCATCACTCTCTGTTCCTATTTAGGTTGCTTCATTTTAGGATGTCCCAGAACGTTTAACTCACTTGTGGAGTTGTATTACTATGAGAATCTCAAAACGTCAAGAGTTCAAATTGGAATTAAACTTGATATACTTGATGTTTCAAATAAATGATTTCTTCTATTACACTGATACAATTCTAGTTAATTGGTGAACTTGTGTGCTTGTCAAATGTATCACTATAATGGACAGAAGGAACAATTTTCAATATTGTTATGAACTTTTTTTTTTTTAAGTGAACTGAAATATCGTTTAGTTTGGTAAGGGAGCATATAGTTAGTTGATTTTGTACTGTTTATATGATTCTACGAGAAATTTCATGTATTTCTGGTTAAGGAAATGCTTAGAATCTCTAGTAGGAAGACAAGAAATTTCTATTTCTCATCTCCATTTTAGTTCCTGAGCTATTTGCTTACATTTGCATTTGAATTTGTATTGGTTAAATATTGATCACTTGCTTCGGACATTGCTAAGGTTCATGATGAATTAGTACTTGAGGCTGATCCTTCTGTTGCAAAGGAAGCTGGATTGTTGTTGCAGATGAGCATGGAAAATGCTGTTTCTCTTCTTGGTAAGGGATCATAGCAAACTAAATATATGCCTGTCTGGATCTTAAGTCCTAGTTTATCTCAGGTTTGTCAAATGGAGGATTTTCTGGGGGATGGTGTGGAAGATCCTCTGATTGACTTAACCTTAGTTAAACCTTTTGGTGGACTAAATGATCTTATGTCGTTCTTTATTGTACTTTTTCCCTCTCTTAGAATTGATATTCTTCTTGAAGTTTGTGCTTATAGTAGTTCCTACGGTTGTGTTCCAGTCCCACTGCATGTGAAACTGAAGATTGGGAGCACATGGGGATCGTTGGAACCTTTCCAGGCCAGTGAATGATAGGTTTTTAAGTGTGGACATTTGTTGGCAAAGTTTAAAACTATTAGTTGCTTGATGCTGTTTGAACAGTATCAACAGCTGTTATTTTCAGGTAACCTGAAGCTTCTCGGGTGTCTTATTGTTAATGCATTCTATACATCTTTGTGGCATTTTAATTCTGACTATTATCTTTATTTCGGTGAAGCAGTTTCCTCTCAAGCAAGACCTTTATCTAACAGACCAAGCAAATGATGTTCACATGGGATGCAACTGTATAACTTCATGTGAATTAGCTGGTCATCAAAGTTATAATGTGCTCTTTGTTGGCAGTCATAATCTCACAATTTCTGTACAAGCAAAGGATCTGATTGATGGATTAGGTTACTTGAAGGAAGTGGGAAGGACAGAGGAAGAGACTCTTTAACTTTATTGAACAAATCTGCACTTGTTGGTGCTCTGATAAATTTGTAGAACTATGACATTCAAGTAAGTAATATTGTGATGAGGGTGCTCAGAACCAAGGCCGCTTTCAATATTTTTGAGAGCATGAGATGTGAAGACTCTGCTGATGAGATTTTCCTGATTGTCTCCAGAGCATGATGCTTCATCGTGTTGTAAGCTGACAAGCATCTTACAGGGCGAATGTGCTTAATTAATGATGATTATATAAGGGTTCTACCTCATTCTCCTGGATCTCAGAGAAAGCGGATGCTTAATATTGAAGTGTCAATTAATGGCAGGGTAATACCTATCAAGAGAACCAAGGAGTTGGTCCAAGTGGTGGAAGCCTTCTAGGTGCTTAATCCTTTATGCTCAAATTTCAAATCCTACTGGAGCCATATTCATTATTCAAGCTTGTGTTGGCCCTGGGCTACGAACCTTGTGAGGTGATTAATGCTCTGTAGTTGTGCCATGAATGATTTCAATGGGGTTATTGGTCCCCTAAAACCCAAAAGACAAGGGAAAAAGAAATTTACAGGGAAGCAATAAGCATAGGATAATTACTTTTCCATTGGCTAAGCCCTCAAAATTTAGTTAATGTGAATCTCCAGGAACATTTCGGGTTTCTATGAATTGTCGTGCGAGGATATTGAATGTCTTCTGGTGCATTTTCTGCTATATGTTCCCTGACATCTAATGCATGTGGAATTGGTTAATGGTGTTTGAGAATGTTACTTGCTGTTTTTTTGTCTCTCTTATGGAGGAACAACCTGGGACCTGGAAGATCCACATCCAATCACATCGTACAGTGAGAAGAGATAGATCAATCTCAAGGGGTTGGGGTTTGAAGGCATGCCACAGTTGCAGGAGCTTTCCTGGCAGTCAAATTTGAAAATATAGAGCTCACCCAGAATGGTTGTTATCATTGCTCAGAAGACCTCATTGGAAGTTACTGTTACTGTGCTACGCGAGAACTAGAGAAAAGTTGTCATTTGGTTAATGATCGATCCTGCAGAGGAGACATGAAAATTGTATTGGAAAGGGGCATGGATAAAAATTCTGGCACTTTGAATCTGCTTGTGGTGTTTGTATTGGAAAGGTGCATGGGATAAAAATTCTGGCACTCAATCTGCTTGTGGTGTTTTGTATTAGAAAGGTGCATGGATAAAAATTCTGGCACTCAATCTGCTTGTGGTGTTTTGTATTGGAAAGGTGCATGGATAAAAATTCTGGCATTTTGAATCTGCTTGGTGCTCGAGGGAGACGATCAGATGAATTTTGATGGTAAGGCGAATCCAGATTATTGAAGTCTATTATATAGCAGTCGTACTTCATGCAGTGTTCGATTGCTTGTATTGTAACCCCAAACTGAGACAACTGATCACTTATTCTTTTCTGTTTCAAACCACACCAATTCACTCTACAGTGTCCCTTGATTTTGTGTTGAGGAATATTGCAAGAAAGACTCTAAATCTATTTGAAAACAAGATGTCATAATCTCCATTACCACATATATTCATCAACCATATTTGAAATACAAACCAAACATTTTCATCCACACATGCAAACAACGTGCATCATGAACTGTGATTAACACAGTTAAACAGTACTTGCAACAGGGCATGCATTATTACACAAAACATTGCAATAAACAATATTTACATTAGGGAGATACATTATTAGACAAAGCGTTGTGACTATTGCAACAAAGGAGCAGGTAATGACCGAACTTTCTCCATGTTATTAGTTTTTAGCTAGTGCGTTTTGAGAAGGAAACAGGGCAATTTGATCGTCCAAAGTGAAATGGCAAATAGGCTTGTCTCCAGGCTTAACGTTGAGCAACTGAAAAGGCAATGCCTTAGGGTTCATGGATGCAGTATCCTCATGGCAGACTGATACTGCATTAACTTTTGTTCCATCAGCACCCACCATAGACACCATAAATGTCCTAGTGCTTCCTACATCATGGCAAAAGTGTACTGCATATGGGTAAGCTACTTTGTGACATACAACACCTTTGCCATTTGCTTTCTCTTCCACTTTTTCGATGGTATATGTTTGCACCTCTGGAGTTTCCTTCTCTACTTCAGTGGAAATTGCTATAATATTGTTTGTTCCCAGGTGAGATAAGGTGAAATCAATCATAGATTCCAAAGAAGTGGCACAATGTTTTACCTCTCCGTTACCCGCAGGCCCTTCACACATTTTGATTGTTTTCTTGATGTCTTTAGCACGTTCTGAGTCCTTATCAACAGAGAAGTGATTAAGAATTTCCTCAATTTTGTCCGATGAGAAAGCGATGGAATCTACAACTTTGCGTGGCAAAATGGGTGCTGGATTGTAGTTTTTGAGAGACTGAAGATTCATTTTTTTCCCTTGATGTAAATCTGTTTCAAAGAAGTATGGCGTCACTGGGTGATTGTCATTAAGATCTTTCTTAGCAGCATCATTGTACCATGAAAACACTCCCCATGGTTGGCGTACTTTGTGAAGCTCGTTCTCGGGGGCAGCTTGATACCATGAAAACACTCCCCATGGTTGGCGTACTTTGTAAAGCTCGTTCTCGGGGGCAGCTTGATACCATGAAAACACTCCCCATGGTTGGCGTACTTTGTGAAGCTCGTTCTCGGAGGCAGCCTGATACCATGAAAACACTCCCCATGGTTGGCGTACTTTGTGAAGTTCGTTCTCAGGGGCAGCCTGATACCATGAACCCACTCCCCATGGTTGGCGTACTTTGTGAAGCTCGTTCTCGGGGGCATCCTGATACCATGCACCCACTCCCCATGGTTGGGATATTTTGGTGTTTCCATCTCCATTGTATGCAGTTTTCTCTGCCAACGGAAGTATTCGAAAACAAAAGCCCTTAGTATTACATTTCAATTAGGTGCTTCCTCTTCCCTCTATTTTACTGCAATCCCTTTCATACTTCTACTTTTTGTACTTTGATTTTTAATGAATTGGAAGAACATGAGAAAATTTTCAAAATTTTGTTTTTATTTTTTTGTTTGGATGTGAAAAGATTAGAGGTGTCCATGGTTCGGTTCAGCCAGTTATTTTAAAGTTTATACCATTTTTTTGATTGGTCTATTTTTATGACCAAAGTTGGAACCATTCAATCATCCTGATTTCTCTCTAGTATCAGCATGATTGAGTTAATTTTTAATATATATTTTTCTATGTCATTAAAATTCACAACTAAAAGTTCGAACATGAAATCATTGGTACTTGCATATAACTTTGGTAAAAATTCGCTAAATTTCTATAGAGATTTATCCCACTATTGTACAATGTGAAAAACAAATTAAGTAAATAAGAGAGATTTAAATCATATAATCAAGTGGAAAGCTATTAATGAAGATGAGACTCATAGAGAAATCTAAATCATATGATAGGGAAGATATTAAAAAAATTATGCATAGTTAATCAGATCGTTGGAATACCTTATGGTTTGCTAATCAAGTTATTGGAACTAATTTAGTTTCAATAAGAGTCGTATATATAATAGTTTTAAAGTTGAAACTTTTTACTTGTTTGTTAATTTTCAACCTGATTCATAACTAATTAATGCATAGATTTATTAAATACAACCCGATATATATTTTTAAAATTTATTTTTATAAAATTAAAACATATCCTAATTATTTGGTAGATTATGGATTTATTTGGTAGACTATGCACGCGACCAAAATGCATACCTCATTTAACAACAAATACTACAAGGAAAAAAAATGAATTTAACTATGAACTTCATTATTCATCCATCGTCAAAATTTTCGGAGCTAAGAACTCTTTTTAATAACTCGTTATTAATCTGTCGCTAAATAGAATTAGCTATCATTTTCATGTTTGTTTAGTAATAAAATAACTTAATATATAAAAGAGAAAAGGATAAAAAATACCCTGTGAAAGGAACAAAATGTCATCCGTTTATAGTTTGGCTCAAAAATGTTGTTGCCGTCAATATTTTGGTTAAAAAAATGTCTTGCAGTCAATACTTTGGTCCAGAAATACCTCTATAGTTACTAAATGGGTCAAAAATACCATTTTCCGAATACATATATATTTTTTTTCTTTTTAAACACATTTCCGTCCTAATTAAAATATTATTGAAGAACCATGTTCTTGTTTTCTTTCTTTTAAAATCACTTTAACAAAGAAAAATTTAAGAAATATTTTTTTTCTTCTTAATCTCATTTTATCAATTAAAATAGAATACCTTCATGCACCCTTTCGACAAATAATATATGTCATATATATAAGATCATAGTATATCCATCATTAATTTATATTTATATAACGATAAAAAATAATTATAATATAATAAGAAATATTTTCATTTTTAATTATTTTTTGAATTGAAATAAGATAAACATTTGCTAATTTTAAAAAATATTATTAGAAAAAATGTGTTAAAAAGAAAATAAACAATATACTCCCTCCGTCCCATTTTATGTGGCAACATTTGACCGGGCATGGAGTTTAAGAAATAAATGAAGACTTTGAAATGTTTACTAAATTGCCCTTTAAAAAGTAGACTCTTTTTTCTCTCTCCTCATAAATGTATTGGAGTATTATTTTAAGATTAAGTGGGACCAACAAAGATAAAAGAGGAATTGTACCTTTATAAACTTACCATATAAGGAAATGTGACATTCTTTTTGGGACTGACCAAAAAGGAAATAGTGCCACATAAAATGGGACGGAGGGAGTATTTATTTGAAAAATAGTTGAGAGACATTTTAAGCCCTTCTCTATTTAATATAGTATAAATAGTAAAATCGTTTTTCTCTGTTTAATGAATCTTACCAGAAATGTGTAGTGCATCTTTGATAGGTGTGGGCATGGGAGTATTAGGCAATTTGACTCTCCAATACACCTCAGGAGATAAATTTGCTGCATGACTTACCACAAAAATTACCTAAACACAACAACAACAATTAATTAATTGTTCATATATAATCTACTTAATTTTTTTTTTCAATTGAAGATTAAAAATAAATTAAATATTATTTTACTCACAGAGAAAAGTGTGAAGAAATAATATTGGTGATGCAACTCCATTGTAAATGTATTTGCACACAATATAATGTTTGGCTATGGGATATGATTGTTAGGAAATTGCTAGCCAATTTATAGGGGTTAAGCAAGGGCCTTTATGGAAATATGTAATAAATATTAAATTATATAGTTATCTTATCTTATAATTAAATAATTTGAGATATGTACACAGTACACACACACCCCCTCATGCTGAATTTATTCTCTGTAACTAATGGTGACAACTGACAAATGGACAAAATTGAGTCAAATTTAGACAGATAAAAAAGAGTCAATATAAACAGTTAATAATTTAAATTGTCCATATTTTATATGGTGTATTGGATAAAAGAAACATTGATTCATATTTATTCATATTTTCATAAGTAGACAATATTTTATTTTAGAACTTAATATTAAGGAAATACTTTAATCTTCTTTTGGATGAGAAATGTTGAAATTATCTTATTTAGTTTTTTTTATATATAAAAGTCATAATAAAGTTTTTTTTTATAACTTTTCAATATAAAATAAAGGCGAAATGATCTGAGAGGCCCCTGTACTTGTATCTGTTTGTCAGTTGAACCCTTATACTCATTACTTTGCCAAATGAACCCTTAAACATGATACTCTATTTTTTAAACCCCTCTGACCATTGACCTAACTTATGTAGCATTAAAATGACTGAGTTGGACAAACGCGTGATCACACGAGTTTTGAAGCAAGTGAATACAATTTTTTTTATTTTAAAAATCTCAGACAAAGCAATAATAATAAATTTTAAAAAATAATCAAAAACTCCTTCTTCTGCCGACCCAACCCATCGCCACCCCTACTCCTCTCTTCTTATTCTTCTTCAGCCCCACCTTTTTCCTCTTCTTTTCAGACAAAAGCAATAATAATATTGATGTGTCATTAAAAAATGACGTGGAATTTTATGTGTAAAACAAGTGTAATACACACACATCTGATGAGAAAGAGGTTTAAAATATTGTGTTTGAATGAGTTTAAGGATTCAGTTGACAAAGTCAGAAGTACAAGGGTCCAACTTACAAACGGAGCCAAGTACGAGGGTCTCACAGGTCATTCCGCCTAAAATAAATTTATGTAATAACAAGGGAAACAATATTTATCATAGTCTGAATTTTGAAGTAGATGAAAAATTGCATTTTAAGAGTATAACATGCTTTATTTATTTTAAGCAATATCAATATTAATACATGATTTGTTCACTTTACACTATATTATTTATTATCTAATATAAAATTAAACAATAGAAAAATATAATTATAGCTAACAAAATAAATGTATATTTAATATTAACAAAGTTATGTACTTTAGCTTTTAACAAGAAAAATGTAGATGTAGACATTCAATATACATCTAATATTAACAAAAATATTACAACAAAAAGTAACCCATATTATTGTATATATTAACTCAAAATTATTGATTGAAAAATTCATACTTATCAACAAGTTTTTAAATGCAATTTCTGTTACTGATGAGTTACTCTATATTGTGATGAAAAGTGACCCATACAAAACTTGACAGTCATAAATTTGTTATACTTGCAAATGGTATTTAAGTATGTAATAGATAGAAGATCTTTTTTTTTTTTTTTTTTTTTTTGAAAAATGCTAAATATCAACTATAAAGAGAAGACCACAGAAAGGAAAGATATAAAATCATGAACAATAAGTGAATGAAAGTCGAAAACGGAATTCATTAGGCTAATTCATATTTTATTCATGAATATTCATAATTTTATGCATAGAATATGTATTTAAATTAAAAAAATTATCCACACAATCCACTGAAATCTAAACGAATCGAATGAATTATCATAATATCAACTTATTTTATCGACACTATATAACACATAAAATATCACAACCCTTCAACTATGATTTTATAATTCAATGTGCACTAATTAATAATAATGTTCATTATATTAAACAAATCTAGAATGTACCCCACAAATGGCAATCATATTATCCTTTCCACGGGTTTCTCGTGATCTCTTTATTTTACTAAGTTATAATGTTTGCAATCTTTTCAACTTTATAATAGGCTTGGTTCGTTTCCACTCTAATTTTTAATTAAGCCAATTCATTAAGTATATATTTTTCTTACAATCATTTGTTACCTACCTTCTAAAAGATTTGTATTATTTAAATCTGGTTCAATATTTAAGGGATACCTAATTCTTGATACAAAGGTGAGTTATATCTTTTATAGATTGTCATAACTTTTTCCGTATTTTTTTATCCATCTTTTTAGATACGGACATATATTTTAGTTTTATGTTGGTTTTGGAGTTGCATTTTCAGTTTGACTATTTAGAGTTTTGCTAGGATGATTTTCAATTCTTAGGGGTTGTTTCTCTGCATTAAATGTTTTTGGACTATTGAATCGAGTTTAAGGGAACTCAATTCTTTAGTTGACTAATTTATTTTCATTATTTTTATATGATGAACTTCTCTTATTTATGGTGTTGGGTTGTTTTGAATTAGTAGTTGATTCTCTCACAAGGTGATTTAAAGTGGGTGTCACTCATGACGATTGGAATCACAAGGATCCTATTTTAGTTAGCTAAAAGCCATGATAAACATACAAATAAAAGCTAATAAAGTCTTTATTTTCTATTTTTGTAGGGATTGACATTGACAAAGACGAAACATCATCTCAAAATTAATAATCACAATTCTTCAATGATTTAAATCAGATGGCAAAGTAAATTATAAAAAACTATATGATATGATATGAATAAGAATATAAATATTTAATTTTAAAATATAAAGATGCATTTAAAAATCGACTCATAATAAGTTCATTAAGTGATAAAGCTAAACTTGGAGAAAATTAACAAAAGAAATTTTAAAAAAGAGATGATAAATTGAACCCAAAATACACTAAGATATTTGTGTACCCATATTCCTCGAAAGGATTAAGACATATTTTGTTTGTTTGTATTTTTTTTCCACTCTTCTTTGTAGTATATATTAAATACGTATTTGTTGAGAGTCAAATTATAAGTTTACAACTTTTTGAAAAGGATGTATCTGTGTATAAACACATCTATCTGGTATCAAAGTATCAAAATTGTGATATATTTAGTGTATTTTTTTTTTATAGATACATACATAGAAAAAGATGAAAACGAAGATACAGTAATCTAGATACATGTATTTATACATAGACATATGTGTGGGCAAATTATAGAAATCACATACTTTTAAGACAAAATTACAATCTGTCCCTTAAAAGTTTATAATTACAGAAATCCCTCAAACGGATACAATAATATAAGCGCTGATACATTAATCTAATGCGCGAGATATATTAATCGTTAAGTAAGATACATTACATTTTATACATGATACACTAATCTGATGTACATTTTATACATGATACACTAATCTGATGCGTTGATACATTAATCTGATGCGCGAAAAATGAGGGATTTGGAGATTTGTAAAACTTATAGGGGATAATGGTAATAAGTAAGCTAAAAGGTGGGATGCTGTAATTAATCCAATAATTATTCCTGAATTAGTAGCCCTTTAATAATTATCTAATATCAATTACGTAGCAGAACAAGGGGAGAAAAAAATATTAAGGGGAGTGGAGAGTAGAAAGAGAGATTATGTAATTATATTAAAGTATAATAAATTTAATAAAATATAGCGGAGATATTTATCTAATTAGGTAATTTTTGCAAAAATGGCTTTAACCTTTCTTTTAAGTTCTTTCATTTTTACCATTAATAAAAAAGTTAATTATAATATATTAATCATTTTATAACAAAAAATATTCCGTAAGTCGCAAAGTTAAATAGTATATCAGCTCTTTCCCCTTAAAATTAATATCACAAGTATGATTTTTCGAAAACTGCGTCCTCATATAATTTTATAATGGCATGGCATTGTCATATGCAGTAATAATAATGTTCATTTTATTGAAAAAAATCTGTATTTGACTAATAGAATAATAAAGTCCATAAATGGCAATAATACAATCTTTCCCACGCACTTCTCGTGATCCCTTTATTTTAATAAATTATAATTTTTGTAATCTTTTTATTATAGAAGCGGCTAGAAGCATACAATTTCTTTCTTATATAGAAAAGGATCATATTTGTTTTTGTAATTAAAAGGAAAAAAATTATTTTTATTTCTTGTCATGTTGTTTTTGATATATTTATCCTTGTCATTTAATTTTAGACACATATTTATTCTTGAATAATTAAATATCTTGTTCCCACTCTTATTATCCTACTTGGTACCTACGTGAATATATATGTTTATCTCAATTAAAATTTACTCCAATTTAATTATTCTACTCCACAATATTATCCTACCCATATAACTCATTAAATCAACTCCTAATATCATTTTTCATCGTTAACTTACAAAGGATAAATATTGATAGAGAGACTTAGGATTGCGCCATTTTAATTTCAAGATTCACAAAAATGCATCTGTCCATTGATAACAAAATTGACATTCATTTTTACATTTTTGGTTGCTTAGAGTTTGCAGAGAATTAGAGAGCTCGTGAATGAAGGTAATGCTAATGAAGAGAATAATAGTAACAATTTGGTTGTGAATCTTTTTCATATTGTTGTGTATCAATGTTATGAAAGAAAATAATATTAAGAATGGGTTTTAATGGAGACAAACACATAAACAACCCCATTTAAACACGAAATATTATTTTTATGATTTCTTTGTTTTAATTTATGCTCTTCAATTACAGTTTTTTATTTTAAAAATTGATGTGGTTTCGTTAATTTTTGTAAAAAAATTAAACATTAACATACAAACATTAATTATTATTTTTTTTTTAAAAATAATCTTTTTAGAAATCAGACTCAAACTAAACATTAGAAAAAGGTAAACCATGGAGGGGTTCACGGGTCGTGATCAGGACCACGACCCGTTACCCTTATCTTGGTTCACACCCACCCAGAAGTGGTGGACCACGGAGCCCTCTACGGGCCGTGGATCCCCACATGGGCC